CAGAAACATGGCAATGGGTAGATCATAAGCCACTCGTTCTGGTTTCTATCAACAGCATATTATAGTTCCTAATTTTAGCTTTAATTTACTTTTCCAAATTATGGAACAATCTGCCTTCCTTAATAAGATATCACTCAGGAATCTGATTGAGAAATATATCCAGGGATCTTGACCCTGCGGAGTCAAGACACTCCTTGAAAAAGCTCCCATGAGAGCAACAATGATTCTAATACCTTGAACACAGATGGATCCGAATCCCCTTATTCTCTTTTCCAGGATTGTTTCAGCTGACCTAAATAGTATCATGCACCTCTTGGAGATAGACTTAGGTATAAACAAAAATCGGGAAGACTTGTTTCCAACCCTGAGGAAATAAAACCTCAACGGAGAGCCTAGAAATTCACAGAAGGTGCTGAACTCCAGAAAAGAACATAGCCCAGAATCTGGATGCCCATGGCATTTCAAAATAAGATTCTGTGTAAAAGTGAAATTGGACAGAATCAATCTGAATAGATGCACAGATGCCATCATGGACACAAGCCAAACTTTTAGGTTAAACTAAAACCCAAAAACGCTTAAGTAAATGGGGAATGGGAGTATGTACAGATCTCCAAGTTCAACCCTGGAAATGATTACAGCAATTTAAGAAAAATGAAGCCTTGGATGAAGAGCTAGTTTGGAGCCAGGAAAATTCTTTAAAATGACAGAACGAATCTGTATGACTCAAATAGAGAATAACCTTAAATGGAATAAATTTAAGGTTGTGAAAAGCTCATTACAATACTCTTATTTCCTAATTTGTCCACAGATTGGTCATGATCAGTACTGTTGCTACATTTCCTACTCAAAACCACACCTTCTGGTCTCTCCTGATCTGAAAGGTGAGATGCTTTCTCATTGCCTGCTTCCAGGAACTTCAACCCCGCACAAGGCACTTGAGGCTCTTCACCCTTCCTCCTTCAGACCTGGTGAGGTCCTGCTCCTCTTACGAGTCCAGGACCCCAGTAGGCTGGCCTGTTCCACCCTGGTTCCATTACTCCCTTCTTGCTCCCTTTAACACATTTATTACAGCTTGGATGTGCATGAGGAAGCCCTCAACTTACCCATTTTGGAAACTCCAGGCACACTAGCTGAGCAAAGACACCTTGAACTAAACTGAAGAAAAGGTAGAAGCTAGAGATGTCAAACTGACAGAGAGTAGAAACGAAGAGTCTGACATCCCCAGACTTAACCCGGGCAAGCAGAGAAGTGACAAGGCAGCCTGAGTACTACTGGAACCCACAATCAAAGAAGTGGGCAGGAGAAGCCACCAGCACAGAGCTCAGCTGGGAGCCCTCCTTTTGGTCTCTTTTCCAGGGATGAGCACATTCCACTCTAGAAATGAACAGTGTGTTAAACTGTTTAAAAATACTACATGAGAAGAAAGAAGTAAGATCAAAAGGGTAATAGCCAAAAACCATCAGATTTAAGCAGGAGGAAGGTACGAACAAAGGAGAAAGCTGCTTTATTCTGGAGTAACAGTAGGAGCCAGTGCCTCACTGTTGGAGGTGGGAAAGGGGCTCACTCTGAAAGACAAAATATCTCTGGGGCCTCCTTGGTGATGCAAGGGGTTAAGATGCAACATATGAAGCTGTCTGCAGCCACTGAAGCACGAGTTCGATCCCCGGCCAGGGAGCTACCCACATGGCGCAGCAGACTCTCCTGACTCACCCACTGCTCCCCTCAGCAGTGTATTTCAGTTGATCCACCTGTTCTCCTCCCCACTCTGTCTCTGGTGAATCCTCCCTCCCCCCACACCTCTGGTCTACACCCCAGTTCTGTATGCATAAATATATAATTCTTAAAAAAAAAACATTTCTGAAGACTAGATGATTGAGAGATGCTATTGACTATTGATCTTTCTTCTGGTCCAGGACAAATACTTAGAAAGGTCAGGGTACCTTGAGAAGTACTGATACAAGTAGTGTAGCAAATGGAATGCTCTCTCCTTGCTTCACAAGGATGTTAAGGCCATGACTGAGCAGCAGCTGAGGCAGGCAGTCACTCCACCCTAGTCCCTTTCAAAAGCCATTCCCTCCACTCAAGCCTGATGGGACCACAGTGTACACTTTCATGCTCCGTGTCCTCCCTGCACACATGAGTGTTCTCTCCCTAAAATTCCATGCCTTCTTTCTCTGGGTAAATCCTCAAGTCTGGATCACTGTCCTTTCTTTGCTCTCATCCCCTGCTCTGATTTCAGCTGGACTCTAGGGGCCTAACGTCCGTACTCCACAAGCTCTCATGGCCATGGCACAAAATTAAGATTTACTGAGTAAATGAGACTAAATCTCTAAGGATGAACTTTAAAAAAAATCCTCTGAAGTCTTTGCCCAACCATCTGATCTCCCATAGCACCTGGTTACCTTCAAGCTCCTTGGAGCAGGAAGTGATGTCATACTCTAGCGTACCCCTGGGAGGTCTGGGAAAGGAGGATGGGCGGCAGCTCAGCATCTGAGTTCAAGAGCAAAAGGCCAAAGCTCCATCCGATCGCCCCCTTGTTGTCTGACCTCAGGCAATTACTTACCCACTCAGGACAGGTTCCTCATCCAGAAACTCAGTGAAAAATGACCACTTCCTAGGGTTATTGAGAGGTTTAAATGATGAAATCATGGTTGTCATCATCACCGGAAGCACTCTGTAACCTGTGTCAATAGTGCCTGTTCATGTGAAACTTTTTATTTTCCTTTTTTGGATTTATTTATTCATGCATACAAGAACTGGGGCACAGGCCAGAAGTGTGGGGAGGGATGAGAGGAATCACCAGAGACAGAGTGGGGACCAGAACAGGCAGATCCACTGAAATACACTGCTGAGGGGAGCAGCAGGCGAGTCAGGAGAGGTCTGCTGCTCCATGTGGGTCACCTCCCTGGCTGGGGATCGAACTTGTGTTGCAGAGGCTGTGGATAGGTTCATAGTGCTGCGTCTTAACCCCTTGCGCCACCAGGGAGGCCCCTCATGTGAAACTTTTTAAAAACATTCTGCACATTGCTTACTCATTAATAAAACCACTTCGAAAGGAATTTTACCGTGATCCCAGATTTTAGATAGCTTCAGAAACCCATTCTAAAAACAACAAAATTCAGCTCTTAGGAAAAGTACACCAAGACTTGTTTGGCACTAGACCATGCCAAGCTGAGCATGCTGACCTAACACTTCTAAGTGGGATAAGAACAAAGAATGCTGGGCAGTAAGACTGGCAGCAAATTAACCTCTTTAAGGATGATGAAAATATGAAAATTTCAACTCTAAATTTTTACTTAGGTTTGGACTAATAGAGCCTCTCACACTAATGCTATCTGGCTTTGGGAACTTCCAAACCATAAATTCCTCCTCTGACCCCTCACATTCTTTGAATGGGTGAGCTGAAAGCTGCTCACCAACAAGCATTAACATGCATTCTTCTAAAGGTCTGTGTCCCCGTATTTCGTATTCTGAAGGGACTGAGATGAAGAACACACCATTTCAGTTGACAGTATAGGCCTTGCCACTCAGATAAGTTCTAAGAATAGTCAAAATTACAGAATATCTCTCTTTAATAATTAGAATTTAATACACATACGCAAAATCAATCTTTAAAAATAACGGAAGAATTAAGAGTCATGCAGATTTCTACTAGTAGAAAATACCTAACAAATAATACATGTAAAAATAAAAAAAAATTCAGAGAAATCTTTTCTCTTTTTTCAAGATTTATATTATTTATGCTTACAAGAACTGGTGTATAGGCCAGAGGTGCGGGGTGGGGGTAAGAGGATTCACTAGAGACTGGGGAGAATAGGCGGATCTACACTGTTGAGGGGAGCAGCGGGCAAGACAGGAGAGGTCTGCTGCGCCAAGTGGGTTAGTTCCCTGGACAGGGATGGAACTCATGTCACAGTGGCTGGTGATAGCTTGACAGTGCTGAAACTTTAACCCCTGTGTCACCAAGAAGGCTCAGAGAGAAATCTTTTCTTCCCAAGAAACTCTAATAGATTGCCTAAAGTCCAACTTCTAAAAATCTTTTTTTGTTTCAGGTATACCACATCATATGTTATATTACTTGCTCTTAAAATATGTATAAATGAATGGTCCTCCTGGTGGCACAGTGGTTAAAGTCTCAGCGCTATCAAGCTATTGCCTGCCACTGCAGCATGAGTTCGATGCCCGGCCAGGGAGCTAATCCACATACGATGTAAATTTCAGTAGATTCACCTGTTCCGCTCCCCATTCTGTCTCTGTTGAGTCCTCTCACCCCCTGTAATGCAAGCATCGCAAACTGGGTAGGTTCATCACCAGTTCAAGCAGCCGTATTGGTGTTTCAGCTATTTTCACGTTCTCTGCCGTACTCTTTCTCTTTTCTGATTGTTCTGGTCGTTCCTGTGGTGCTGCCCTTACAAGCCCCATCTCAGCCCAGGTGAATCCCACCTACATATGCCCACAACCCCATTCCAGGTGCCCACCATCAGGCATGCATTCAGGACTGCAGGGATCCATCATGAATCCTAATGGCGGGAGGGTAGGAAAGCCTGACAATTATTACCCTACTCTCTACTCTGGCCATTGCCTCTCTGGGCTGTGGTCCTAGTATTGCTGGGCAGTATACAGGCTGCTTTTGGCCACCGAGGCCTACCGGCCATCCCTTGATTTTCATCTCCTGGAGTTTTACAAATGATACCATCCACCCCGAGGGTCCCAAAAACATAACATCAACCTGTGAAGGTTCCTCCACCTTGTGGTGGGATTGTAAGTCCAAGTCCATTGACTCCTCCCTGCATCAGCACTGGGTGAGTTCTGAATCGTGGTCCTCTTCTCCTATGATTCTGCTGTATGAGTTGGTCCTCTCCGGCCGTTTTCTCCTCCACTAGAGATCTTGTCCCGCAGCTCCCAGACCTTGTCCACCTCCTGTGCTCCTGCGGCGTCTTTAGCTCTTCCCGAAGCTCCTGGACTTTGGTCAGCTCTGGTGTTGCCGTGGCACCTGCAGTGTTGTCACAGGCTCACGGTCTGCTACTCCTCAGTCCCTCCCGAGGTCTTCGGAGGGCTCCATACCCGTCTGCATCCAATCACTGTACTGACTATGCCAAATACAGTGCAACCACCCCAAACCGGGTAGGTTCATCACTAGTTCAAACAGCCGTGTTGGTGTTTTAGCTGTTTTTGTGTTCTCCATGAAGTACACTTCGCTGTACTCTTTCTCTTTTCTGGTCGTTCCCGTGATGCTGCCCTTATAAGCCCTGTCTCAGCCCAGGTGACTCCCACCTACGCATGCCCACACCGCACTCCAGGTGCCCGCCATCAGGCTTGCATTCAGGACCGCAGGGATCCATCATCTTAATGGCAGGAAGGCAGCAAAGCCTGACAATCATTTACCCTATAACCCTCTGTGCCTCTGGCCTACACTCCAGTTCTATGTATAAATAAAAATAAATTAAAAAGTATAATTGATTATTCTCCATATTTTTTATTCACTCTATGTAAAGATGTTTGGCCCTAAAAATCTTATTACCATTCCTCAGTGGTCATTTTCGATTTCTATACTCAATTTCTACAAATGAACATGAATTTGAACTATATAAAGACTATATAAAGGAAATACAGAAACAATCCTGGAACCTCTGAAACCTGATTTTCTTAGACCAAAAATGTAACAGATTGAAACAACAGGGCCCCAGACAAAAAAATTCTGTTTAGAGAAAAAAATTAACTATTTTCTGAATTTTATTCAATTCTAATATTTATTTTACATTACATAGGCAAAACAATGCTGATACTGTGATTCCACCATTATGCCCACAAACACAACTTGGACTCAAAAATAATTTCCTCTTGTCAGATCAAATAGCTACTGAGTAAACTGATTTATGGAGAGTGAAATAAATGGGACAATATCATCTTCACTCTAGAGACTCTGACTCTCCAAGTGTGGTCTGGGACCAGCAGCACTGACACCTTTGGGAGCTTGTTACAAATGTAGACTCTTGGGCCCCAGTGAGGCCTAACACATCAGAATTGCACTGCTGTAGGATTCTCACAGAGACTTGTGGCATCTCGAGCCTGAGAAGCACTTCTCTGGAGCACCGTTGTCCAGGAGACTCTTCTGTGATGATGGAAACACACGGATGCCGCCAGTCACAAGTGGCTACCGAATACTCAAAATGTAACCAGTATGACTGGAATACTGAATGCTTAATTTTATTTTAACTTATTAAAATGGACATTGTAGCTCCCTACTGTACCTGTGTGTACCTGAAAGCAAAGGATGAAGCAGTGATCACGGCAGCCCATGCCCATCATCCATCTTGCAGCCATCATGTAACAGTGGTACCCGCTTGTGCTTCCAACACACAGAAGGACTTGAAGACGGGTCAGTCTTCTTCAGCAGTTTCTCCCAGGAAATCAGCTATGGAGCCTGGGTTTCTAGGCCAACACTGCTGACCATTCTGCTCCCTTATTTGATCCAGTTTCCAAAATTCACCCCTCAGCCATTCCTAGCGTTAGAATTTTCGTACTGACTGCTTAGGAATCTCATTAGATAAACAAAAACAAAAAACAAAAGAAAGAACATGCCACCCGCCTTTGGTGAATGGCAGCTTCCAGGACACTTGAGACCTGAGGATTCTGGAAGGTATGTTACATGATTACACTGTTCTGGGGTGGGAGTTGGGGGAGGTCTCAGAATTCCCAAGAATTTTTTTTTAAACTAAACACTGGTTAATAAACCTGGGAGAAGGGAAGAACTTTACAGCCTGACAGTCCTGAAAGAGGGGCCCTCAACCTTACTCTTATAAACCCCTCTGAAAGGTAGTTAGAAGAAACAAATGAAATAATCTAGGTAAACTATAAAATGTAGAACTTATTATCATAAAAAATTAAGGCTCTGCATGACAGCACAATATACTCAGTCAATCCTTGGCAAATGAGATTAAATTTTCTGCTTTGCTGGTTCCATATAAGCAATGAATGAGGGGTCTCCCTGGTGGTACAGGGGTTAAAGTCTCAGCGCTATCAAGCTATTGCCAGCCACTGCAGCATGAGTTCAATCCCCAGCCAGGGAGTTAACCCACATATGGCGCAATGGATCTCTGCTGTCTTGCCTGCTGCTCCCCTCGGCAGTGTATTTTAGTAGATCTGCCTTTTCTGCTCCCTACTCTTACTCTGGTGAATCCTTTCACCCCCCTGCACCTCTGGCCTATATCCCAGGTCTTCTTTGAATAAATAAAAATAAATCTTTTTTTAAAAAGAAATGAATGAGAATGTGATTAGCTAAAGTTTCCAATCAGAAGAGGCAGAACTGCCTTCTCTGGAAGAGCTCAGTGTCAGTGTAGCTGAAGAAGGTCAGAAAACTATTCAAGGCGGCTGGTCATCCCTCACACAGGAAGTCTCCAGCTGATGTGGGAATAAATCTAAACTAAGATAATGCATTCCAAAGTTCCTAGTGCCCCTCCACTAGTTGTATAGCCAGCAGGAAGAACAGTACACAGTGCATGATTCCAAGACTACCATGCTATAATGACAAAATGAGTTAGGTACAAACACTTGGAGCTACAATGCAGAAGGTGTAAGTAAGAATCCAGGCTTAAGGAGGATAGGTGTTCTTTCCTTCTTTAAACACACTTATGGTGAAAAACAGATGAGACAGCCCCGTTTTTCCTTTGCCAGACAGTTGACTGACTCCAGGGGTTATGACCACACACTGAGAGAGGGCAGGGTCAGAAAGACTTGCAAAGGTCTTACCCAGCCAGCTCATCAGGAGAGAACAAAGGCTTTCCCTCCCACGTTGATAATCTACTAGGCTGCAGAGTTCCCTGCAGAGTTCACTGCGAGGAACCATCCCTCACCCACTCCCCCCACCCCCAAGTTGTTTTCTCCTGACTGGAACCAGTGGCCTACTTGAGGACTAAGGACCATTGTCTGGACTTGGTGACTTTTAGGGCCATCAAGAAGTGGTGGCAGGTCTGAAACTTCCAAAGTCTCAAAATAAAAGTACCACATGTCTTTCTACCTCAGAAGCTAGGAACCAGCTACCGAACAGGTATGTTGTCAAGCATGTAAGCATACCATTATTCAGTTTCGTGCCTGTGAAAGAAAAAGAGCTGTCTTCAACAACAGCAAGGAAAACACGACTAACGGCATTCCATTTTAAAGTCTATCTGGGGGAGTCTGGAATCTCAAGACATTGCTGTAAGGAAAAAGCAGCAATCTCAGAGCTGTGCTGGGATTCAGATGCCTGAGGAAGGTCACACAAGAGCAGAGTTCACTTCTTAAGCAGCTCTATCTAGAACAGAAGAAATACAGGCATCTTCATGAACAACCAGAGTATTGCCTCGATGGCTCCTGGGTATGAAGAGCCCATCTGCCCCTATAACACCTACTAATCCTTCCAGAATCCAAGTCCTATAACATTTTACTGAACGCTAGGTGCCAGGCATTGTGCATAGCCCAGTTAATAATACAAAGATAAGCAGAGCAAAGCCCCTGTCCTCTCAGACTACTCTAGTGGACAGGGCATCACAGAAGGGCACCCTCTCCCCGTCCAACTCTGTTGTGCCAGGAATTACCTCAGCACATTCCTGTTGTGACAACTATTTATAAATTAGTTTCCCAATGGGCTCTGGGCGAGCAGAGAACATCTCAGCCATTTTGGTTTCTCTAGCACCTTGCACAATGCTCCAGAAAGTAGTTTGCAAGGTGGCGGCGGCAGGGGAGACACTCCTAACTTGCCAGTTAAAGGTCAGGAACCTGCAGAAAGAGTTGACAATCCATAAGGAGCAAAGGAAAGAAAGTTTGAAGAACAGATGCATGGCATATCTACTTTAACTTTGCCTCCTCCTTCTTGGGGCTCCTGTTCACCTGTGACCCCTCCTCACTGAGAGGGCTCCCTTGGCCGCACAGTCCACACCCCTGGAGCCTGGTCTTATCCTCAAGGACCTCACCCCCTAACAGACCCCTCTCAAACAAGATCTACTCCTATGGCTATTCACCACAGGCCTTTTGTTCTTTCCTCTTTTCTAATACTTCCAGAAGGACCCATAACATGATGGCCTACCTTGTCAAGCAGAGTCTTCTAGTCCTGGCTGCTGATAAGTGATGGGTGGAGGTAAATGGAACAGATGGTCTTAAATCTTTGTTTATCCCACTGCAACTGAAAGAAAAGTCCCAACTCATTCCTGAGATTTGTAGGTACTGTGTGATCTGGTTGTAGCCTTTCTCCAAACTCTAATTGGGACTTTCAGTGCGGGGCTCTAGTATCCTTTCACTCTTTCCCACTGCGGGGGGCCTCGGCCTTTTTTTTAAAGATGTTTTTATTTATTTATACAAGCACTGGGCACAGTGAGAAGCGCCGGAGGGTGAGAGAATTCACCAGAGCCAGAGCGGGGAGCAGAACAGCAGACTGACGAAATATACTGCTGAGGGGAGCAGCAGGCGCTGCAGGAGAGGTCTGCGCGCCTTATGGGACCCTCACCGGCAGCCGGGGATCGAACCAGCGCTGCAGAGGCTGCGCGCAGCTTCGCAGCCCAGCGCTCAACCGCTGCGACACCGGGGAGGCCCGGCCTCGACCTTCTGACAGTGTCCAAGGTCTGCTCCTCTCTGGCTTCCAGCATCATGACACCCATTTGGCATAACCCTGCTCGTCCAGGTACATCACCCCTCCCCCCTCCCCTCCCTTCAGCCCATCCTTTTGGCCCCTAAAACTTATCACCCTTCCTAAGTCCCCTCAGTCCGCTCCATTTGAACAAGTAAATCTTTGGCCTCAAAAGCCCCCTTCAGTGCTGCCCGAGCCTTCCGCATCCGCGGCTCACCTGGTTCTCACCTCCACACCCCCAGCCCCCCGCGCCTCTCACCTCCGCGCGGGGACGTCCGTCCAGACGAACCCACGCGCATCTGGCCGGCGCCTAGTCCAGGCTCTGGTCGGTGGTGGCCACGGTCTACGCCGGGAGGTCGCCCGCGTCGGGGGCCGGCGGGAGCCCAGGCGGCGAGGGGCGCGGGGGCTGCGGGCGCAGGCACCGAGCAGTCGGGCTCCGCGAGGGCGCGGGACACGCCGCCAACCGCCGCGAGGCGCGCAGCGCGCCCGGGCCCCGCCCACGGCCCCGCCCCTCCAGCCCGCGCTGGGGTCCGGGACTCGGTCCGGCGTTGCCGAGGCAACGGCGCTTCCCGCCCCCTGCCACGCTCCTCCTGCCTGAGAGCCCGCGAAACAGGCTTCGCCTGAGGCGGGCAACTCCTTGACCTCTCGCAGCAGCTCAGGCTTCTCCATGTGCCCAGAGACCCTTCTTTTCTCTTCTTCCTCAGAGACCCCACTCCTTAAAACTTCCCATTCTCTTCAGAGTCCCCGGCTCTTCCTAAGAGACCTCCTTGGGACCCACAGAATCTCCTCAGAGCCCCCATGCCTCAAAGCTCCTCACTCTTTAGAGCACCCCTTTCACCCTCATTGGCTTCCAGCTCAGTGCTCCGACTCTTCAGAGACTCACACATCTCTTTAGAGTCCTCCTTTTTAGAGCACCCCACTCTTTCTCCAAGCCACTTTTCTTCTCAGAAACCCATGACTCTCAGAGCCCCATCAATACCCACTATTTATCTCCAGAAATCACTATCCCTTCTCAGTCCCCTAAAGACTCCTCGCAGCTTTCACAGGATTAGGTGAGTTCTAGGACTCCTAGGACTCCTTACTCTTGCTCCTGGAACTTTCCATGGCGGGCACAGGTATATGTGGTGATGGTGGGGAGTTTAGGTCTGATTGGTTAGTCTCAGCTGCAGAAATCCATTCACCTTTCAAGGTCTGGCTTAAGTGTAACCTGGCTTGTTTATTCATTCTTCAGCTCTGTAGGATTCTGGGCCTAGCAACCGTTACACACATGGTTACAGAATGAACAATGCCTACCCTGCACCCAAGTGAGTAAAGCTTCACAAGTCTTTGTTTCTAGATTTGTGGAATCAGAGCGGGATCCTCATGCAATAGAAAAGGACAGACTGGATACACATCACTTATCCAAAGCCTGTACACTGGGGAAACTCCAGATGCAAGCTCACAAAGGGTCCTCAGCTTCACTGGGAAATTTTCAGGGTGCAGCCCATCTTTCCCCCATTGCTGCTAGAGAGGAAACACAAACACCATCTGGAGTGATTGGATTGGGGGCCCTCCAAGGAGACAGCAGGGAATGGGAATGAATGATGAGGGCCAATTTAAGAACAACCTCAAAAGCTCCCATATAAGCTGACTGCTCCCTTTTTGCCCACTGCTCTCTCTTGCGGGGTATTTCAATAAATCCACCCTTTCTTTCCTTTTTTTTTTTTTTTTTTTTTTTTGTTCTCCAAAAATAAAAATGAGGGCCTCCCTGGTAGCGCAAGGGGTTAAGACACAACCTATGAAGATATCCACAGCTACTGCAGCACAAGTTCGATCCATGGCCAGGGAGGTGATCCACATGGTGTGGCAGACCTCTCCTGACTCGCCTGCTACTTTCCTCAGCAGTGTACTTTGGTCAATCTGCCTGTTCTGTTCCCCACTCTGTCTCTGGTGAAGTCTCTCATCCCCCACACCTCTGGCCTGTACAGCAGTTCTTAAATGCATAAATAAATAAATCATAAAAAAAAACCCAAAAATAAAAATGAAAAATAAAAGCTTCCAGAGGAAGGGAAACCCTATACTTGGCCCCAGTAACAGGAAGTACTAGAACATGTGAGGACCATGGAAAGCGGATGCCCTATGCAGGTCAGCTGCTAGCAGAGCACCTCACAGGAGGCCTAAAAAACAGCAGGTAACTTTGCTGTTCTTCAGAGACCAGTGTGGGGAGGGGGTGAAGGGGTGGGGAGAAGAGTAATTGGAAGCTTCAGGGACCCACAGAGACAAACTTGAAGTTACTGGGTGGAGAGGAGGGAAAACTGATGGGACAAGATCCCAAAGGAAATCTGAGGAATGTGGGTGACGAGTTAGAATCTGAGGATGCTGATGCAAGAGCAGTCAGCTCAGAGTAGGCAACAGAGGCACGGTTTCTGGAGGTCACCTGGGATCTCCACCCTTTAGGAATTGGGTCAGCTGTTTTGCCACCCAAGGTGACATGTCTGTCCAAGCAGACCCACAGACACAAGGACGGCATTTTTGTGGGTGTGCCTGGGCACATGGTGGAAAGTGCTGGCCTGGGTCATCACCTCTGGGTTCAGGTCCCAGGCCCTAGGAGAATACTGCTCACCTTGGGTCCTGAAGAAGTCTCAGAACTCCAGTTTATACTTGTCTCCTCACAGAGCTGTCTTAGGGCAGGGGAGTTTTCCCCATTTAATGTGGAAAGACTTAGACGGTTTGGGTACCTCAGCAATATCTGCTTTAGTGGTTTAAGAATTTGAAGAGCCTGTGTTTAAATTTGAGCTATAACCATTTTCTCCCTAATGAGGGAAAAGCAGAGAATTCAGATCCTGGTTTGCTCTGTGCCTACCATGGTGCTTCTTTAAGTAACTGAGGACACTCATCATCGGTCTAGCACGTCTGAGGCTTTGGGGGACTGTGGATTAGGTGGAGAAGGTCAGGCTGTGCTTATGACCAACTTCAAACTTTGTGGGAATCTGAAGCCTTTTCCCCAGATGCCTGTCTAGTCCCTCACAGCATTTTTGTGTCCCTTTGAAGCTTTGCAACGACAGGCTAGATTCAGCCTTTCTGAAATCACTGTCCTCACATGAAAACAAGTGTAATACCTGCGCCACAAGCTGCAGATGATGATGAAGTGCCTAAAGTGCTTATCAGTGGGTCAGGCACATCAGAGGAACCTGAGAATTTGCAAGTCTCCAAGCCTGCACACTGCTGCAAGGACCTCCTCACTACCTCTGGCTCCTAAGTGTGTGTGTAGGTAGTAGGCTGAGCAATGGGATGAACGTACCTGTTAACAACCTGGACTCAGACAAAAGCACAGATTGGAAAAAGTGGTCACAGACAACTCTGGGCTCTACAGGATGAAGACAGGGAATAAGCAGAGGCTACAGATAAAAAGGGAAGAGATATCAAGACTCCAACAAGAGAGACAGGTTAAAGCTGGTCAGAGACTGAAGAACAACAAGAAAAGGGCCAAGATGCTGAAGGAACCCTGACTGACCTTAGCCTAGATGGACAAATCTGGGACACAGGGAAAGATTGAGTGACAGAAAATGCTTTGGAGATTTCAGAATGGAAATAAAGGTTTACTTGTTATAACATGTCTTCCCCATGGACCCTCTCAATTTTTTTTTTTAAAGATTTATTTATTTATACAAGAGCTGGGATACAGGCCTGAGGCATGGGAGGGTAAGAGGATTCACCAGAGACAGAGCGGGGAGCAGAACAGGCAGACGGGCCGAAAGCACTGCTGAGGGGAGCAGCAGGCGAGACAGGAGAGGTCTGCCACGCCATGTGGGTAGCTCCCTGGCTGGCCAGGAATCGAATTCATGATGCAGAGGCTGCGGACAGCTTCACAGCGCTGCGCTGAACCTGCTGTGCCACCAGGGAGGCCCAGGGCTCTCTCAATTTTAAGGGGGAACAAGGCAAGCCCCTGGAGGCTGCAAAGGGTCACAAACCTTTCCCAGCTCAGCACCGCTTAGTCTGTGATCCTGAAGAATCAGCCTCAACAAAGCGTGTCCATTATTCTTGTTATCTAGTCACACATCCTGAGAGTGCCCTCTGCTCTCCTACCCTTAATACCCACACCACCACGGATGAGGAAAATGTCCACAGGGCTTACCAGGGATGTGCAGTACAAATAAAAAAAAAATGTCTGTTAAAAAACTCCCAACCTGAGATGATTAAAGAGTAAGATTTCTGCGCCCCAGCTGACTCCCAGGTGTTTGGAGATGACGCCAAATCTCCAGGCCTTGGGGAGGCCAGACCACTAGTGCTACTGCACCATAGCAAGCCAAAGGTCTGCTGTTAAGTCTGTCCAGAGGATTAGGTTGAGCAAGGTGCAAGGTGCACCCATGAGTGGTCTGGGTTACAATCTATTGATTGCTGCACTCTCCTGAAGTTCAAGGTGGCTAGAGGGTGGAGTCCATCAGAGGGTAGCTGTTCTCTGGCAGCATGATGCGAGTGCTGGCACTTGTCCGGGTGGAGGCAGCGTATGGGTCAGACTTGTGTTTGGACTGGCGGAGACACAGACAGCAGAGAAGGTGGCGGAAGGTGCGGCGCATCTCGGCATCACGGCATGAGTACACCACGGCATTAACCAGTGAGTTGACCTCGGCCAAGAGCAGGAAATACTTCTCTACGGCCAGGACGTTGCAGGACTTGCAGTTCAGACCATCCAGGAGGAGCACCACTTGGGCTGGGGTCCAGCAGACCACGAACGCCCCTGTGGGATAGAGCCCAGTGTGAGCAGGGCCAGCTGTCAGGGGTCCTGGCACCCTAAGCTTGGATAGTAGCTGTGCAGTTTGCGGTGCCACAGCTGCCTGTCTTGCTGCTTGGCAGGGCGATGGGGCAGAACTGCTAAGAGGGTGCACCTTTCCCAACTGTACACAGTGGCCAGGGCCCTGTGTGTTTCTTCCCTGAGATTTATTCTGTGGGGTAAAAGAGATCACTGTGGGGCAGACCAGCTACTCGGTGTGGAGAGTTACTCTGTGCTTGGTGGCTGGTAGTGTATCATCATGGTAGGGGTTTGGTGCCACCTCCTCCACAAGACCAGATCATTTTACATTCTACGGAGTGACCCACATTACTCTTTCCTAAAAACTCTTCAGGGCTTCCAATGGAACTCAGAACAAAATATGACTCCTATCTATGCCCTTCCTTTGAGGCCATGTTGACCTCTCCCGCACAATAGGCCAGCCACGAAGGTCTCCTCTGCTCTTTGGGGGTGCTGACTTGGTGTCCCTAGTGCTCTCACCTTCTGTTCCCTCTGCCTAGAACTCTTATCCCCATACCAGCATTCAGGTCTTTGTTCAGGTATCCCCTCTATGAAGAAGATTCCCTACTCATATTGTTCCCTCCCATCATGTTATTGTAGGAATTTGGGGTAGGGGAAAAGTGGGGTCCCTGTGGCCCAGACATGGCTGAGGGCCCCACTCACCCAGGATGATGACAACAGTCTTGACCAGGCTGAGTGTGGTCTCGCGGTAGCGGGGATGGCAGCTGACGTGCTCTGACATGCGCTGTACCCGCCGCCGCACGTAGAAGAAAATGCGGGTGTAGACAGCCACCATGAGTAGGAAGACGAGTAGGCTGGACAGGGCCCAGACAGTCAAGTAGGAGCGACTAAGCAATGGGGCCATGCGTGAGCAGTGTTTTAGGGCACAGAGGCAGTGCCAGAACCGGGCAGGCAGCAGCCCCAGGCCCAGCGCAGCCACCCACACGCCCACGATGAGCATGATGACCCTGCCACGGGGCAGGCGGCTGTGCAGCTGCACGGCCATCACGCTGCGGTGCCGCTCCACAGCAATGGCCAGCAGTGTGGCCACTGATGCTGTCAGGCTCGCATCTAGCAGGCCCTGCCTCAGGAACCAGCTCTCAATGGAGAGCCGGGCTGTGCGTGGACCTGTGTGGAACATAAGAAAGAGGTAGGCCACACCAGCAAAGAGGTCAGCAGCAGCCAGGTTGCCAAGCAGGTAGTAAATGGGCTGGTGGAAACGGCGGTTGGAGGCGATAGCTGCGATGACTAGCAGGTTGGTCAGCAGCACCAGCATGCTGACGGTGAGCCCCAGTGCCACCACCACCACATCCTTGGGCCGCCAGTGGGAGCTCAGCTCCTTGCCGCTGTTGTTGTAGAAGAAGCCAATGGTCTCGTTGTGGTAGCACTGGCCCATGGAGGCCATCTGGGGGCACAGAGGGAGAGGTCAGTGCAGGTGGCTTTGCTGGAGGAACACAGGGGCAGGGCTGCGGCCAGAAGGGCAAGGGTCTCAAACTCAGAAGTCTGGGGCACAGGGGAGGGGGAAACAAACATGGACTAGCGCAGCTGTTGCTTATTTAAGACTCTCACAAAGATACCTCCCAAATCAAATGACCCGGCTGGTTTTGCTTTTCAATGGAAAGAAGCAAAACTAAAAGCCATCTGCCCAACACTGTGACCTGTGTTGTAGGGGGTGGTGGGTGGAGGGAGTCATTTCAGCGCTGTCATTCTAGTCATGTCAGTGCTCCAGCCAGAGGGGATGAAAGTGGGTGAAAGCAGTCATTTTAGTGCTGGGGTCAGAGCAGGAGCAGAGATGCAGGGTGGGGTCACCGCGGGGGCGTGCAGGTGACCGGGGCGATCAGAGTGGCCGTGAGGCAGCCCAGAAGTTGGGCGGGGGGCTTTGGGCGAGAAGGCTCCAGAAGAGAAGCGGGCGGAAGGAGCGGAGGCCCCTGGCGGCCTCTGTGACAAAGGGGGCGAGTAGGGAGGCGGCAAGCCGGCCTCCCGGCGGCCCCAGGCTGGGGGAGGAGCTGGGGGCTCAGCACGCACGTGTCGCACCCTTCCCGGTACTCCTGCCCTCCCGCCCCGGTCGGTGCCGGTCTCACCTGGACCGCCCGTCACGCCGCGGACGGGGAGGCCTCGCTGGGGGTCAGGGCGGGCCTGAGACCCATGGCCCAGCGACCGCGGGGAGAGCAGAGGAGCGTCTGGGTGCGCCGAGCTCGACGGGCCCAGAGAAAGCGGGAGGCGGGGTACCAACCCCCGCGCGGGCCCCAACGCCCCGCCCCCTGGGGAACCCCGCCCCGTTCCCGTCACCTGAAGGACCCCAGCTTAGAAGCTGGGGCGAGGACGCAGTCGCCCGGAATCACAGCCCCACCCCCCATTTTCTCCCCGCCTCGCGGCCCCTCCAATGCCGGCGCGGGACCCCCATCCCCGGCCCGGCGCACCTCACGCGCCCGGGGCTTCGGGCCTCCGGGGCTGAGTCACTTGCAGCCCCAGAATTCTCGCCGTGACCTCGCCCCGCCAGGCGCAGCTCCGGGTGGTCTCTGGGCGCACGCCCCCGCCCCGGCCCCACCCCCCTGCTCCTCGCGTCCAATCCATCGCCGCGCTCCAAGCCACGCCCTGATCCGACCGCCCCGCCGCCGGGACCCCCGCCCCGCCCGGGTCCCCAGGCCCGAGCTGCAGCCTCCCTCCAGGGGCCTCGCGGACCCTCGGACCCCTCCGGCCGCAGCCGACCCTCCGGCCGCACTCCAGTTTCTCGCGAACCGCCCCTGCGGACCCCGCGGCGGCCCCCGGCTCCCACGGCCCAGAGCACACAGCCCTATTGTCCCGGTTATCTGCACTTTTGTTATATTTGTTTGATTATGCAGGACCGGATCGGGGACTCCTAGATCCGGAGGGCCGGGCCGGTGTGACTCAGTCCGAAGCCCAGGTCCAGCCCTGACTGCCTGCTGAGGGGTATTTAGACGTGAAAGAAAGGGGCCTCAGCTCTCCTGGTGGGTAAAATGGGATCAGAAAAAGCTGCCTTCCAATGCTTCTTCCCTGTGGTCCTCCCCTGCCAAAGAAAGACACATTCAAGGGTACAAAGCCACAATTTATTCAGAGGCAGTCAGATCCCAGGCACCACCAGGATGTCGGGTGTGGGCTGCCCATTCCCTCCAAGAGCTGGTCACTTGGGGGCAGCTAAGGAGTGGCCACAATTAAGGGTGCAAAAGGCACCCCTGTCCCAGGGGTCAGACTAGGTGAACCCCAAGGACTCCTTGACCTGTATTGACCCTGAGTATTGACCCTGAGTGACCTCTGAACCTGGATGCTTGGCAGTGACTCTGTCTATTGGGGACCCTGGTACAATGCCCCCTGAAGGGTTTTAGTCCTCCCCTAGGCTGCGTAGTCTTTCCTTATAGGACCTCTCTAGACTCCCCACCATTGAGCTCCTCAGGAGAAGAGAGGATCATCTTCTCAGTTTTGGGTTCCTTGTCAGAGTGCTAGGATGGTCAGAGGTGGTCCTCCACTTCCTCGGGCTGGGGGTCTGGGCAGCAGGTGGTCTTGGGCACTGCCTCATCGGGCAGCTTGGAAAGTAGCCGGGCTGTCTCCTGGGTGATCTCAAAATGCTTGGGAATTGGGGTACGGCGAAGGGTACTGCTCTCAGGGGAGGCAGCAGCAGGGCCAGGCCCCCGGCTCCGCAAGCTCCCTTGGGGCACTGATGTGATTGGAGTGTCTTCACACAATTTGGAAGCCACTAGGGCCAAGCTGGACAGCTGGTGGGTGACAGGCCGCACACCCCCCCGGGGATACTTCACTGGTTGGCGGCTGAAGTGGCCACGGGACTGCGTCCCCAGGAGTGAGTCCTCAGGGCCTTGGCAGGACACTGTGGATGGGGTGGTCAATGCTGAGTACCCTCAGTTTTGTGGATACCCCCCAGGAGTTATCTCTCAGAGAAGCTACCCTAGGGCAAGGACACCATCAGAACTCCTGGGTTACTCACCCACACACTCACCTTCTCCTCCCTCATCTTTGGTATCTTTGGCAGCCTCCTCTCTCTGGTCACTCTCTGAGGTTGGAATCTGCAGGGAGAAGCCCAAGAAGGAGACCCCAATAATAAAATCCCAGTTCTTGGAGACTCTTGGAGAACCAAGGGGTTCTTCCTAGATATGCTAAAGTTCCTCTGCAGCTGTGGTATCTGGAGGGGAGCTGATGCCTTTATAGTGTACTACTGCTTGCCCCTGTGCAGAACAGCTCACTTTGAGCTCCACGCAGCAAATGGCCCTTGTTCACCTGAGGGCCAGCATGGAAGTGGCCCTCTTTGCCATCTTTGCACTGGGACCAGAGAATGACCCATCTTCATGCTGCTCTGATTGCTGTCACTTTATGTCTACTTTTTAGTTTATCTGTATATTCTTGAGGTTCTGCCCTTGGTTACATTCTAATAGTAGCTGAGTCCTTAATATGTGTCAGACACTGTCCTGAGCACTTTCGGAGCCATCCCAGTTCACAGTGAGCCACGGCTCACTGGCAACCTCTCCTCCATCTCTGGCTGCTATGGGGCAGTTGGCACTCTCAGGAATGATGTGTACGAGGATCTGAGGGACAGGGAAGCCCCCTGTAAGAGTTCATCTTAAAACAGTTTGCACTAATAGTTTTCTCTCAGGGCACCCATTATGTGTGTGTAGTAGGTACAGTCAGTGATGGCTTTTGGCTTCTTTGCTGCCATCCTACCCTCATTCACTACAGTGTGGTGCTGTGCCCTAACCCACCAGGCATGCTCCCACCTCAAGACCTTGGCACTGGCTGTTCCCATTGCTTGGACCATTCCAATCTCCACCTGGTTTACTTCTCCCCTAATATCCTTCTAGTCTGCTCAAATCCACCTTCTGAATGAGACACGCTCGTACTATCCTATTCTTCCAACTGAGCTGGTCTCCAGCAGTCCTCTGCCTCTCACTTGGTGCCCCCATATCTTGTACCTTACCCCTTTTTTTTCTTCTCCATAGTACCCATCACCATGTACTAGCCTACATAACCGACTTTGATCTTTGTTTACTGGGGGTTTCTTCCCCACTAGAATGCAGGCACCAAGAGGAATGTTCTGCTCACTGATGTAATCGCAATGCATAGAACAATGCTTGGGGTAGGGGTTCAATAAGTATGCTGTGGAAGGAATGAATGATCACATTAATACCTCTGTAGGCTGTGCCCTGATGTTACTCCATTATTAACTACCACTCTGTCTCCTAGTATGTCTTCCAGAATGAGCACAGGAAAAATCAGAAAAGGAGGGAAGAGAGGGAGAGACTGAAAGAGAAAATTAACAGAAAAGAAGGGGGAAGGAAGAAAGAAAAGAAGGCAGGAAAGCAGGAAGGAAGGAAGGAAGGAAAGAGGGAAGGAAGGAAAGAAGGAAGGAAGGCAGGAAGCAAAGAGAGAAGGAAGGGATATAGAATAGAGTGGGAGGATTAAAAAGAGAGCAGCCTCCCCGTGTCTGTGGGTCAGGCAGGCTCCTACCTGGGAGGGCGTGACTTCAGGATGCTTTTCCAGGGCACTGTGGGGATCTGCGTCTGGGTCAGAGTCTAGGGTTGGGGGCAAAAGGTCTGGGGTAAGATGTGGAGGTGATGGCTGGGGGTTAGTTGTGAGGGGCCCAGGAGCTGGGCTAGGGTCTCGGAGCAGAGTCTCAGTGGTCAGGGGGAGCTCGTCCATCCCAAAGATCTGCTCGTAGTGCAGGATGAGGAACTCCACCAGCTGGGCCTGGTGCCCGGAGTCCAGCAGGCAGGTGACAGAGCCAGAGCCAGCTGTCCCTGGACTGTCTGGCGGTTGCAGCAGCGTGGGCCCAAACACAATGCCCAGGTTGTTGGCAGACATCTTGTTTTCCTCAAACTGTGCAGCCACCCTGGGGAAAGTGTGAAAAGGGTCAGGGCATGGGTGCACAGTCACTGATCGTCAGGAACTGCAGCCGGTGGGCACTTGCCCTAGTCACAGGTAAGTGGTCCTGGTCATTGTTTCAGACCAGCAGCCACATGCCTGGTGTTGGAGGTCAAGGGTCAGCACCCAACGTGAGGAGTCATGTATTAAGGTTCAGAGCTCAGCAAACACATGCAAAGGTCAGAGGTCAGTATCAGGGGTCAGTCCCAGTGGTCCATAGTCGCAGATCCAGGGAAGGAGTCACAGATCCATGGCTTGGGTCAGTCATATTTCAAGGTCGGGGACAGTGCACACCTGAACAGATGGGCCACCAGGTGCCGCAGGGTGTAGTAGTTAGAGTCAGGCAGCTGCACCAAGAGGGTCTTCAGCGAGCGGATAATCTCAGGGCTGGGGCTGGGGGTCCCAGGGTGTTGCCCAGGGTCTGCATGCAGGGTCTTAGCCAGAGAGATGAAGGCGCCGTAGAGGTGGAAGGGGACCACAGGGTCAGTGAGCTGGGGGTGGAATGGTGGGAGGGACATGGGTGTGGGTGGGCTGTGGAGGGTCCTCACACTGAGCCCTCCGGGCCCCTGCCCCGTGAGTCCCTGAGCACCCACCTCCTGGAGGAATCGTTTGAGGACACTGGAGATGTCATGTGGTGAGTTCCCTGACAGGTCCACCAATGCTCGGCCGTTCTCGAAAGCCTGACACAGCCGCTCCACACGGACCCGGGACCCGCTGACCCGATAAATGCCCTACAGGGCAGAAGGTGGGAAATGGATACCTGTTTCAAGATCTGGCCATTGAGAAGGCTGGGTCACTACTGGGAATGGTCAGGGGTCAAGGTGGCACCTGCACACCCAGGCCGCGCTGTTCTATCTCCGCCGTGCACCTGGTGACAACAAAGGGCACCTCTTCTGGGAAGTCCCTGGGCAGCTGCAGGAAGTCAACCCCAAAGAGGGAGGTCCGGGCTGGTAGCCGCCTGTGTCCGCAGAGAATCAGCAGAGTCTCCAGACAGCGCTTGTGGCAGGTTAGATAGCACTGGGGGGAAGGTCACAGGGTTAGGGAGGTTACTGGGGTCTCAGGGAAGAGAGGGTAAGATTCTCAGAAGACTGGAGTCTCATTGATCATCGGATCAAGGCAGGTCCCTGGGGCAGGAAAGTTACAGGGATCTCAGCTCAGGGAGGTGTCTTGGGTCAAGTAGGTCATCAGGGGGTCACAGAGATCATAGGGTCATCAGCCCAGGTCATACCTCCTCGCACTCGGTCCCGCTGACCATGAAGGCCTCGCACTCACGGCACTTGGCTGGGCCTCGAAGCCTCCGTAGTCGGTGTGTTTGGGCTGCGCTGGACAGCGTCCACTTCCTGAAGGGGCTGCCTGCCCCATTCTCCAGCCCATCTCCTAGGTCTGAGAGGAGACGGGGTCAGAGGTACCTGGTCTAACCCCCACTCTGCCCCACCTGCTTCCAGCCTTACCAGGTTCTCTTTCTTCAAAGTCATCTGATGACTCAGTGCCTGTGGATGAGACCTTTACCAACCGCCTGGTGCCAGGGCCTGGAGTCAGAGGATCATAGAGGTTGGGAGTCACAGGGGCAATGGGGAGGCTCAAAGGCTAAGGAGACATTTTTGGTTTTCAAACCTTCTAGAAGTTCCCACAGATGCCCATGGGAAAAGGGGTCAGAATTTAGGAGGGGTCAGACAGCTCAGAGATAAGGGGTTGGAGAATGGATCAGCAACCTGTGGAGTGATTCAGAAGATGGGTCAAGAGAATGGGTCACTGATTAGGGAAAGAGGTCAGGGGTGCAAGATAGGTTAGAGGACAGGTTAGAGATAGAAGGTCAAAGTCTGATCAGGACTTGGAGGATGGTTGGTCAGGAGTGGGGCAGGGTCAGGTCTTGGCCCACCTGGGCTGGAAGTGGGGGAGTCCAGAGACCGAGATTCACTGCCACCACCCACACTGTCCACATCACTGCCCGGAGTGGGGCCTGGGGTACCTAGGAGGATAAAGTTCTGTTAGAATGGCGATGGCTCCAGTCCAGACACTGTTCCCACCTGACCCTCTCGGCACTCACCTTGCCAGCCTGTGTTTGTGTCCTCCCAAGGACCTTGCTCAGCAGTACTCTCATCCAGCCGTGGAGGTGGGGGACCAGAGACCTTCCGTCTTGTGTCCAGAGAAGAGCTGAGAAGGAGAGGTTTGAGGACTCTAATAACCAAAAAACTGGGCTGGGGTGACAGCATCCAGGCATCACTTCTGGGACCCAACTCCAAGTTCTTGGGTCTGCAAACCTTGATGCCTACGAGCACTGCAGCACCCAGTGCAGTAACCCCAAAGTCCCTGTACACCAGGACCGGACAACCCCCTAAAATGGTACTAAATCCAAGTACAGAGTATTTAAGTTCTCTGATGCTGGGGACTCAGCCCCACTGTGCTAAGCGTCTCTGGGACTCGCACAGACTCTGCTCAGGGCCCACCTGTTCACGGAGGGCACGAGCTCCTGGAAGGAGAAGGCAGGTGGTGGGGCCGGGGGGGCCTCAGGCTGCAGTGCCCGCACCAACTCCTGGTAGCGCTGGCCGGGCTCGAAGGGTGCACAGCACTCAGCCAGGGCTGCAAAGGTTCGGGGGCCATGCTCTGCCTGTGCTCCCCGCAGCCCGAATAGTCCTAGGGTTACCTGCAAAGCAGAGACAGCGTAGGAAAGGGGCGGGACCCCAGGGAAGGGGAGATGGAATTGTGGTTAGGGTTTGCGGGGAGCAGGAACTTCCTATATAGGGAGAGGCAGCAAGTTCTGGTATACTGGAGGAAGTCTGGGGACAGAGCCCTCAACTAGGGCCCAAAAGAGAGTTGGGGGAAGCCATGGGGCAGGGTCTCACCCGCCTCAGCACTTCGTCCCCCTGTAGCACCAGCTTGCGAATGTGTGACACAATCCGTTGCTTGGTGGCTTCCAGGTCTTGCTGCCGTGCGTTGGCCTCACGGACACAGGCCTGGTACTGAGCCTCAGCCTCCTGCACCTGGAGAAACCACGGGCATGTGTGGGAGACAGTGTGGTCAAGGATACCACAGTACTGGGGGGCACCCGGGTGGGGTCCCCACCTTGGCCTGGGCCTCCTCTCTTGAGCGCCGCCGCTTTTCCTGCTGCTTGCTGGGTCCTGGCGAGGCTTGGGGAGCCAGGTCCTCCGGGGATGCCTGGGAACGCACCCGCAGGTCCTCGCTGCGCTGCTCATACTGGAGCTGGGCCCTCCGCAGCGCCTGCACAGCCTCGTTCTGGGCATGGGGTGGGACACTGTCATTACCCCTTCTCCTTGCCTTGCCCAAACCTCCACCCACCCTGCACCTCACCATCCGCTTCTGCTCTTTCAGCCACTGCTCCTTGAACTCCTTCCGCCACTTTTCAATCTCAGTCCGCTTGGCGGCCAGGGGCTGGCAAGGATGGAGGTTGGGGATGCTGCCTCAGGGCGACCTAGCACTTCTATCCCCCCAGGCTTCATGCCGTTTGTCCTTGGGACAGTTTTCTGGGTCTGTACTCTCTCCCAGACCAGTTCTCCCCTACCCCCATGTCCCCACAGAATCTCAGTGGTCCCCTGCTCCCTTTTGCCTGGACCCAGAGATGCCAAGGCTCTTTTCCTGGGAATCCTCAGTTCTAGGGTTGCATCCCTCTCGCCTCCCCTGCCCCCCACCCCCAGCAAACAAACAACAGCACAATTTTGCAATAGCTCAGGAAGCCTGGTTTGAATCTCTGATGGGTAACCTTGGGCAAGTTCCTTAGCATCTCCGGGCCTCAGCTTCCTCATCAGCAAAATAGCTTATTGTAACAGTGGCCTTCACCAGGGTGCTTGTATTCAGAACCCTGAATGAAGGACAGTAAGATGCCCTCACCTGGTAGTAGTCTCTTCTCTGCTGGGCCACCGTCTCCATGGCTAAGTTTCCCAGGTTGAGGTCATGTTCCAGAAACAGGGTGTAGACGTACTGCAGTGGCATGTGGCTCTGGGGACAGGGGTGTTGGAGGATGCTGAGAATCTAGGGAGACAGGGTTGGGGTTCTGGAGGACTTAGGCTGGGGGCGGGGAGTTCTGCTCCTAGCTACCTGTTGGTGGATTGACACCTTGCCAGCCTCTGCCATCTTTATGATGCTTTTGGAAAACTCCAGCTCTGTGGGAAGAGAACAGGCATGTGAATATGACCAGGGGATTCACCTGGGGACTGGGACTGGGCAGAAGAAGCCCTTACCATGATTGGCCCTCTTCTCTGTCCAGGCCAGTAGCTCCTTGACGTAGCGGCTCCAGGTCTTGGCATACTCCAGGGCTGCATCGATACCGCCCTTGGTCCGAATGAGCCGCAAATCCAGTTCTTCCCCTGGGGTAGACCAGTGGACCTCTGCCCTCCCTTGAAGTTTTCCCAGAGTTCCCAGACCAGAGCTGTGGCCCCTATTCTACACCCCTGCATTCCCTGCACCACGACATCCCTTTGTGATCAATTGCTGAGAATGTACTTTTTCTTTATTTTAAAAAAAGATTTATTTATTTATGCATACAAGAACTGGGGTGTAGGCCAGAGGTGCAGGGATGGTGAGAGGACCCTCCAGAGACAGAGCGGGGAACAGAATAGGTGGATCAACTGAAATACACTGCTGAGGGGAGCAGCGGGCGAGTCAGGAGAGGTCTGCTGCTCCATGTGGGTAGCTCCCTGGCCAGGGATTGAACTTGTGCTGCAGTGGCTGTGGCTAGCTTCATAGTGAGACTTAACCCCTTGCTCCACTAGTGAGGCCCTCCCTCTGTTTATTAACTCAGACTGGCAGCTCCCTGAGGGGCTCGGCTCTATTATGTGCTCTGCCATGTCCTCGGAATAGGCAGTCAGTGGTGACTCGTTGAGAGGATGCCTTTCTGTCCCCACCCAACCGGGCCTGAAAACCCCCTACCTGTAAGGGGAACAGGACCCTCTGGGGAAGGACCACTCCAATGGCTGGTTTCATTGGTCTGAGGGGGAGGAAGAAACATTTGGGACAAGCAAAACAGGAGTCCCACCTCTCTAGAGCTCCTCATTCCAGAGGCCCCCTCCCTCCTGCCCCCGGAACCTCCTCACCACAGTGGCTGTGGGGGGCTTGTCAGAATCTGGGTCTCCTGAAAGTGCAGGGTCTCCAGCCAGCATCTCCAGGTTCCTGGGAAGTAAGGATGTTAGGATGCCACCCTCACCTAGTGTACCCCTCCTAGGACTGCTGGGCCTCAGGGCAGCTGGGGAAATGTCCTGGATATCACTTCTATAATAGCTCTTGCATCTGGGAGGTCTGAGGGATTTTTTGGGGGTGGGGTGGGGAAAAATCAGGTCAGTTTGTTTTATAAGATTTGAGACAGGGTTTGAGGGGTCCCAGGTAACTTTGGGGTTCATAGAGATTATAGGAATTTCAAATGCTTTAAGGGGTCACAAAAAGAATAAGTGGGGATCCTAGGACAACATTGGGAATTTCCAGTGGATTTGGGGGATTGAATTTTGGGATATTTGGGTGTCTTGGAGGGTTCTATCTTAGACTCATTAGGTTATTAGGTAAATGGATTTAGATGTTGCAGATTCCTGATGGAGCTTCAGGGCACCTATATGGTTAGGGACTGGGGGATCCTGGAAGGATTTGGGGATGACCCAGGCTCAGACTCACACGTTCACCAGTGAGATCTCAAGGTTGTCCAGACTCCGGAAGATATCACTGTACCTCTTCCTGCTCTCTGGAGCTGGAGCTGGGGCCGGGAGTATCCCTGGAAGAGGGGTGTGTCATACAGGGGCCAAGTGAGAAGCCTTCCTCTAGTCACTGAAGCCAGTAGTTTGGTGGTGAGGGGTAGGGTGGGATGGGGTTTGGGGGAGGAAGAGAGAGAAAGAGAGAGAGAGAGAGAGAGAGAGAGAGAGAGAGAGAGAGAGAGGCTCACTGGCCCAGTGGGACATTCAGGATGGGGGGGGGGCGGTGCCTGAGCCTGGATGAAGTGAGAATGGCATTGGGTGGGGCCCACTCTGCACGGCAGGCAAATGGACTCAGGCACAACCAAACACAGAGACAGCTGCTCAAAGCAGCAGAGACATCCACACAAACACATCCCATAGGCAAAGTGACAAAACAGATGCCCCTGATGCATCCACACTGGGGGAGGAGGGGTGTGAGGGGGGAGGGGGAAAGCTGGCTTGACAATGGAACCACATGGACCTCAGGCCAGACAGATGGATATATACAAGGGCCAGACGCACACAGCTAATACTGAAATACACGCAGGCGGGCTGAAACCACAAGGGACTTAAAGACCAAATGACAACATGCACAGCAGAAACACAAAGACTGCGGGGAAACAACTCCAACCTTGTCACATTTCAGCCACCGCCCCCCTTTCCAGGGGACGTAGATCTGGGCTGCCTCCTCCCTGTGCTATGGAGGAGCCGGGTGGGCACCCTGCCACGTCGCCCTCTCCACCAGCGACAGTGACACCCTGCCCCCATCACAAATTTCAGAAGCAGAAGCGGCCACTTCCCCTTCCTGGGCCCCTTCCCCCAGGCATCCGGGGTGACGACTCCAAAGAGGGAGGGAGGGGGCTAGGAACCTGCGTCCAGACCCTTTCAGTTTAGGGTTCTCCACAATGGAGGATCTCCGTATCCTCCCCATTTAGGAACGTCTCTCCCGGTTTTCTGAGTGGAGAGGGACAGGCGAGGTCCCTCGTTTAGTCAGTGGAGTGGACCGGGGGAGGCCCCTTTCATATCCCGTATCCCGGATCGCCTACCCGGCTCTGCGGTGTCCATGGCCCGGCCAGAGGATCGCTCGGCAGGGACAGGGACCGGGAGGGGATCGTGCGCCGGCGGGGCACAGCCCCGATTGATTTCCTGTCTTGGCCGCCGCCCGCCTGGGCTCGGTACCGCCTCGCCTAGTGGAGACCCCGCCCCTCACTAGAGGCCGTGTCTTAGATCACACCCCACAGACAGGCCACGCCTCCACGGTCACGAAGCTTATAGTTGTTGCCCGGACCACCCCCGTCCTACCCCTCCCTCCAGGCTCGGACCTCCCCCAACCTAGGCCAACCCTCCGAGCGGACCACTGCAGGCTGGTACACCCCCAGACCTAGGCGTTTCTGGACTCCTTCCCTACCAAAGCTCACCCCAGGGTTTGCCCCACCCTAAAGCCCCAGCACACAGCAACCCTCCCACCCCACAGAACATGCCATACTCTAGGACCCCACTGACATCTCTACTCCGGGGTCTCTTGGACTCCTGAAACCTCTCCTGGCAGGACTGGGGCCATAGAGCCCCCTGGTGGAAGCCTGAAGTCCTGCCTAATTTCATTCGAATGAAACTAGGGTCACAGACCCCCGGCTTGGGAGGTATTCTCCTCCGAAAGCTGGCTCAGGCCCTTGCGGTCCTAATTAGAGCAGCCAGAAGACACCTAGTACTACTCTCAGGCACCGGGGCCAAAGACCCCTGAGTTCCCCAAGAATCCTCCCCTGAAAGTCCCAAGCCTCCTTAGGGTTATCTCAGGGGTTTGGCCTCTGGACAGAGTGACTGCAGCTGAAGGGAGAGCTTGGCCAACACTCAGCCCTTGCATGGTGTTCACAGGCTAGTCCCTGCCCCTTCCCTGTCACATTCTGCTGCATGGGGAAGCTTGATGGGCTAGGCTGCTGGGGATGACCAAAGGATCAAAGTGGGAAAGAATGAGATCCCACTGAGTATCCGCAGCGAAGGGGAGGTGGTCCAGAGCCTGGGCCCCCTGGCCTGAGGTCATCACACCCAGCTGTCAGTTATAAAAATGCACCCACACCCTACACTTACTGGAATCTCTGGCTAGAAATAAAGACCTTGTGTTTATAATTTAGTTTTTGGCTGTTGAGAAGACAAGAAATCTGACTGGCGATGACTCTCTGAACTCTCAAGAAGCTACCTCCAGTTCCTGAGTGGCAGTGAGTGAGCTCTTTGAGGGAGGACAGTATCAGTCCAAGAGTTGAGGTGCAAGCTGGCAGATCCTGGCCTGCAGCGGCTCCATGTGTGACATGAGATGATGGAGGCATCTTCGTGGTGCAGGACTCTGAGAGCGACCCAAGTCGGCATTTGTAATGATATAATTGAGCCTTCCCATGTCTAAGACAGCATGAGGATGGAATGCTATTATTCTGCTTGTTATTGAAAGGGAAAAACGCCATGGTTCCTAAGACGACTCCCAAGGTATTTATTAAATGTGGTGTGGAGAGGGGCCACAGAAAACAGGGCTGCTTGTTAAACCAGGAAATGTGCAGACTCCTCTGGGCTCGGCCATTCAGACCCTGAATGCGCAGGTATGATGAACCACCTCACACACCCATGGAGAGGGTGCCAGGACCTTCTGGGATAGCACCCAGATTCCACGACCCCCTGTGTAGCGCAGACAGTGAGTGGAGGCAGAATCGAGGCAGGGCTTCTTAAAATCGTGGATGCTGCTTTATTTACCAAAGGCGCTGGCCCGGGGCGGGTTCTGCCAGCCAGGCCCGTGGATAGCCAGGGGGTCCCAGTACAGTCTTGGTGGGCAAGGCCGCGCGGGCCTTGCAGTAGGGGCAGTGTTCCCTCCTGGGGTCCTTGAGCAGCTCCCGCCCAGTGATAGCAGGGTGGGCAATGGTTGCCAGCATCGCCATCTCAGGAAGGCACTTTCAGCTTTGGGGTCCCCAGGAAGAACTGCAGGACACGGTCAGCCAGGAACGCCAGGCAGAAGTCGAGGAGCAAGACTTGGGCAATGACCAGCTTGAACTGTGGGGTAGGGAGTGACATGAGTTAGTTGCCTGAAGATGGGCCTGGGCTGAGCTCTAGGGCCATGTCCACGGGGCCACTCACCTCCACAGGGATGTCCACAAGGCCAAACTGGCTGTTGAAGTCAGGCGAGGAGCCAAGGAGCAGACCAATGATGGCCAGAAGTGACACAATCAGACTCCACACCAGGGGCTTGTTCTCAGGCAGACTCTCCATGAAGGGTGGGCCCTGTGGGCACAGACAATGTATGTTGTGGGGGCTGGGTGGGCAGGTGAGTGGGCCGGGGCTGGGGCCGGACCTCACCTTATAGTTGATGGCAAAGGTGGCCATCTGCATGGCCATGGCCATGATGTACACAGTACTGTTGACCAGGCTTGGCTCAAACTCCTTGTACAGGTCCACAAACTGCTCCTGTCTGAAGGGATGTGTGGGGGTCAGGGCCCTCTGCATCTCCCCTTGCCTGTGCACAGAGCCAGGGCTCTGCCTTGCTGACCCCACTGATGTCTGTCACCCCCCACCGCAGGGATGTCTTCTCTGCTGGGAGCAGCTCGTCCCCCCCCAGGCCGCTACTGGGATAGTACTCACTTCTCAGGGCTCCGGGCCTGAGCCTCACTGTACAGGTAGACGAGGCTCAGGAAGTGCACGCAGAACTGGAGTGCAACCGTGAGGATGGTGTATAGGTTGAAGATGTTGGGCAGGGGTCGCTCTCGGGAGAGGGTCTTGAGGGGCTGCAGCAGCAAGGTTGGGGTCAGGGCCCAAGCTTGCTTTGGGGCAACCTGCACAGACCCTTGGCAAGCCTCACCACAGAGCACTCACCAAATCCTGGCTGTCATAGACTGGCATTAAGTCCCCACAGCCTTGCCCACCCCTGACCCCTCAGCATAGGGCCCACCTCAGTCCACACGCTGCACGGTAGCCATATGAGTATTAAATCCAGCTCTCCCTGTGCCTTCTGCTCTGGAACAAACCCAAATCCCTCCCTGGGGCCATGGGTACATAGGGTTGACCGAGCAACTCTGGTTACCAGACCATCTCATGTCAGCCTCTGTCCTTTCTACTTAGTTCCTAGCCAGCTCCGTTCTTTCTTACCCCTCAGTCTGAGTATCAGTACCACAGCTTCCCTGACCAACCCCAAGGCTTGGACCAAGAAACCCACTTTGTGTTTTTCATGGTACTAAATACGCTATGAGTGATCTTGATAAACATTTCCTCATCAGTCCCCTCCTTGCCTATGGGTTTTGTGTGGTCCACCTGAGACCCCAGCCTGGGGTCAGCGCAGGGCCTTTGGAAATGCTTGGCAGGGGCATAGGCACCTGCCTTGCCCCCTGGTCTCCATCTGTAATGTGGGGGCAGCAGTTCCAATCCACCCTGGTTGGCCCAAGCAACCTCACCATCAATCTAAAAGCATCCCAGCATCTCCAGGTGGTATGATTTGGGGGGCTGGGTAAGGGGGGACCTTGTGTTATCTGGGGTTCCCTGCCTACCTTGGAACGGGAGATGAAGAGGAAGCAGCCAGCCAGCAGCAGCCCCTGCAGTGTGGCCTGAAAGTCACTGAACTTGACGCCCTCCAGGTAGAGGACGCTCTGGCTATAGGCCAGGATGAGGGCGTTGAGTGCTAGGATCTTGAACATCTGCAGCGTGGTCACTAGGGTGCAGCGTCCCTGCTTGATCACATGGCAGACTAGGGGTGAGGGGAGGCAGGTGTGAGTGTGGGCGCAAGGCATGGCGGGGGGGGGGGTGGGGGGAGGGGATGGGGTGGGCTGGGAGGGGAGGCAGGTAAGTGTGGGCACCAGGCAGGGCAGGGGGATGGGGTGGGCTGGGACTCACTGCACTGGATGGAGGAGAGTTTGGAGGTGAAGGGTGCAGCGATGCTGGCATCTCCCAGCTTCACAATGGGTGTGCTCTCATCCTCAAGATCCCGCAGCACCTGGCTCAGCCGGTCCTGTGGGGTGGATGGTGGGGTAAGACTTGGCCACAATGGGGTGCTGGTACCCCCCTTCCTGAAACTTACCCGCTGGGAGGCTGGCTGCTCCTCAGGGGGCGGGAGTCCCGACCTCTGCTTGGCAGTCCTGGGGGTGACCCTGACGCTGCTGTTGCTCAGGACAGGGCTGTCCCGGGGCCGCCTTCGCCGCTCGACAATCCGTTCGGGGGCATTGGCCAGGAGTGCCACACCTGAGGTATGTGTGTATCAGGAGCCTACGAGTCCCCCACCCTCAGGCCCTGCCACTCTCTGCCAAGGACCAGTATGAAGCAGGGTGTCTGCTGGAGGCAGAGATGGGCCTTGGAGCCAAACCTCTGATTTTACCCGATCTCCCCACGGAGCAATACAGATATCATCTATTTCATTGTCTTCAAACTGTTTAACAAAGCAAAAAACCTAAAACACACACACTAGATGGTGATCAAAGCTAAACCGAATACCACAGAAATTCACTGCCAGTTCTAAGAGATACTTTACAAGCTCTGTAGTTGATTTAGAAAGCAGGTTAAGTGTTAAAAACATTAAGTTGACCTTTAAATGTCAACCTGACATCTGTTTTATTAAGACACTCTGAGGCTGTGAACCACTGGCTCCCAACTTTGCGTTCCCATTATCCTATCTCTCCTGGCCACTGCCCTTGCCACAAGCATTGTTTCCACATGGTGCCCAAGTTGAGTCTGTCCCATGTAGTATCCCTGGGCTCCCCAAACTCCTTGCATCCCTAGTGGCAGTGATCCTCACACCCGGTGTCTCTTCCTGCCCTTGCAGCCACTGGCCTGGTCCTCTGCTTTCTCTGCTTGCTGTCATGTCCCTTATGTAAGACTGTGCTGGCAGAAAAGGAGAGGAGGCACTCCAGACAGCGGACTCACCCACGTCAGCGTGCTTCAGGGCACCCACATCATTGGTGCCATCCCCACACATGAGGGTCACGTAGCCCAGCTCCTTCAGGCTGGTAATGACAAACTCCTGTGTGGGCAGACGGGCTGTGTGAGGGTTATGTGTTGCCCCCAAGGCCCCACCAGCCCCTCTCCACTGAACCCACCTTCTGTTTGGGGGCCACTCGGGCAAACACCTGCACATGGGGGATGAGGCAAAGCAGCTGTTGGGGGTCCTCGACCTGCAGGTGGGCTAGGCCATCACCTGTGATGCACAGTGCATGCTCCAGAGCCAATGCTTTTGGGGAGCTCTGGGCCAGGGGCAGCACAATGCTGCCGTCGATAGAGCGCCACTCGCAGTGTCCACCTGTAGGGGGGGCACGAGTTCAGGGAATGGCTCAGCACCCAGGTGGACCCCTCATGCATATGGACTCTACAAACTTGGTCCCTGACTCTTCTCTCTGTAACACTTCTCGGTCTCCGCCTTTCCTTACCCTCACACCCACATGCCCAGACCTCTTCAGACCTTATCTAGAGCTCTCGCATACTGACAGGGGATTAAAGGAACCAGGGCCTGGGCTAGTCAACGGGGCCAGGGCTATTACCCTTGGTGCCACTGTGGCCAGAGGTCTGCACCACAAGACTGCCACCCGCACAGGGATGCGATGACACTGGGAGTATTCATTCAGGCCTGGCATGCAAGTGGGCTGTTCTTGGGCTCACAGTCCCCGGACCAAGTGAGGCCTTACCTTTCTCCATGGGAGGCTGCAGGATCAACGTGTGTGCCTTTTCAATGAAGTGCAGTTCCTGGGCCACGTGGCAGGCAGTGAGTGGGTTGTCACCTGTGATCATGACCACCTGGGGGGAAGGGCTGGGCTCAGTGGGCAAGACCTGGCGGTGAACCCCCTCTAAGGAAGGACGGGGGTGGGGGAGGGTAAGGTGGTTCTGGCTCCAAACGGGGCCCTCAAATAGGCTTCCAGGGGTGCTAATTCAACCCCCACCTGGGGCATTTTACACCAATGACAGATGTGCACGAGTCTTTCTGAGAATATCCCTAGCTTTATCGTATAGTATAAATTAGGAATCAGCCCTTGGCATGAACCCATCCTGGCTTAGCACTGAGGGCCAGATGGGAACTAATATCGCCACAACCTAGACTGCTCATCACTCCCATGCCCTAAGCAGAATTAAGACAACACAGACCACTAGAACAGATATGGCCTATGGAGTGTTGCCTCCCCATTCCCCAACCTAACCTCAGCTTTCTCCTCGTGGATGGGGTAGTTGGGGGGCTGAGAGCCTTAGGAAGTAGCCAATAGGGTGGGCACAGATCAGGTAGCAGAGAGCTCTGTCAAAATCTGCCACAGCATCCTGCTAAAACCAGGACACCCACTGAGGGTGGGGTTGATCTCAGTTCTCATCTCCTCTTATCTGTAAAAGGAGCTGAATCTCATCAGTGGTGCCCATGGGGAAGGCCTTTAGCCATACCCGGTGAGAGGCATTCTGGATCTCCCGGATTACAGCCTTGGAGTCAGCCTTGAGTGGGCAAGAGACCACAATGAAGCCAACAAATTTGAGGTTGCACTCCAGGGCTTCCCGCTTGAGCTCTCGGGCCTGTGGAAAGACAAGAGTGGTGCCCTCATGACCATTCCCTCCACCTCCCTACCTCTTGACTCCAATAATAAGCTGGAGGGGGGGGGGGGTGGTGGATGAGATTGTCCTCACAGGTGGATCAGAAGTTAGAGGCAGGAGGCATCCTTGAGATGGTTGTTTAGCAGTGGCTAGGTGGAAACCCCCTCCCACTCATTTTCCCACCTCCATGGTGCCTCTCCCTCCTGGTATGGACACTGTCATGGAGTTCCAGTGGCTCATCTTCTGAGAGTGAAATAGCATTTTTCTTCATTAACCCCAAATGCACCTTTACCTTCTACCTATCATACCATAAAACTAAACACCCCACCCTGGTAGGGCATATCTTCTATTGGAGAAAATGTGACATAAGTCTGGCTGCCGAGTGCCTGGAAGAATTAAGGTAGGGGAAGGGAGCAAATGGAGTCGGGGCATGGCTTTGAGGAGGCAGGCTTAAGAATGGGAAGGGCCACACTAGGCCTGGGGCTGAACATGGGGCCGAGACTGGTGTGCTTCTGGATTTCATGGTTGTTGAGTCAAGTGGACCGGACAAGGGCCAAGGTATAAGTGGATAAAGGAGTACCATCATGGTGGAGGTGGGAGCGGACACTGGTGGATGGGACATATGGTGAGAGTTAGGGATTGTGCAGAGACAAGGAGGCTGGGCAAGATCAGGCTGCCACTGAGGGGGTGTGAAGACCCCTGGATGTGAAGGTAGGAGGCCAGTGGAGGCAATCCTGGGAACCATGATGGGATAAGGCCTCACAGGGCCAGGGAGGCATGAAGTGGAGGAGAGGGAATGAGGACTCTGGATCACCTGGGGCCTCTGAAGGAAGAGGCAGGGAGGAGGAAGATGAAATGGTATCCACACAGGGATGCTGGAGGGGAGGGAGAGCACGTGATATGGGTGCTGGGCCAGCAGGCCTTGGGCCTGGGCTCTTACCTGTTGGTGGGTGAGGTGCCCCAGCTCTTTGTACCCCAGTGCCAAGACACGGGCTCCTTCCCGGGAAATCTCCGTGTGGATGTGGTGGTAGTCAGGAGGGCACTGGGAGAACTACAGGAATACAGAGGGGTGTCACCGTTTACCCCGTGATGCCCCTCTCCCCCTGGAGATGCAGGGGGTTTCAGCGGTTGCCTGTCCCTGTTGCCCATCTCCCCTGCCCCGACTCCTCCTCTCCCCTGGGTGGCTCACCATGGAGTGCAAGGTTTCAGGGGCCCCTTTCACGGCTGCGATGTAGCAGAGGTCGGTGGAGCCCAGCTTCTCATAGGAGGCGAGCACGGACATTCGCTTTAGGGCACTGGCAAAATGAAAGCGCTGGTGAATTTTCAGCCCCTGAGTTTTTATACTTCGGGGGAATACTTTCTCATCTGGAAACAAATAAGCAGGAGTCCTGAGGGCCTTCGCTCCCAAGAGGCAGCCAAGCCCCCATCACCCCCCTGAAAGCCCTCCCCACATACTAGACCCAGGGCCTGCAGGGGTCCTGGCTCCAGCAGGGGTCAGAGAACCCTGCCAGTGCTTTGGGCAGGGCTGAAAGGTTCCAACCCAGGGGGCACTCTGTCCCAGGTCAGAGGGGGAGGCTGTGCCCATCTGCTAGGGAACACCAGCAGCATGGGCCCACCTACCCGCCATGTAGTACGAGGTGGGGGTTTGTCTATATTGGGCCCGATATTGCAGTCCCTCACCTTTGGTGAGTGTCCAGTCCACAGCTGTCAGCATGGCTTTCTCGAGGGGGTCACCCACCAGGGTGCCATCCTCTAGCTGCATGAGTGAGTGGCAGGAGGCCAGGGCCCGATGTGTTTCTACAGGGATGTTGGACACGGGGGTCACCTCTTTTCCATCTCTGCAAGGATGGGGAGCAGTCAGTCAGGCAAACTTGGTAGAGGGACCCCTAGTAATTATCAGCCAGGAAGAGGGGTGGGTTCACTGTTCCAGTCACTGTGGGGTTGCAGGGCATCTTTGTGGTCCTGTGACTTCGTAGCTATGTCATAGATACACCCATGCATTTGTCACACCCCTAAGATAACACATGGAGCCCCTGGTTGGATCTCTATAGTAGAACCTCCTGATAGGCATCAGTGTGGGAACTTGGGCAGGGAAGCCATCTGACCTTTGATCTCCCCAAAAACCTTACTCACCTGAGCCCTGCGACACCGCGTACCACCAGACTATCACTGGTCAAGGTCCCTGTTTTGTCAAAGCAGCACACCTCCACCTTGCCAGCAAAAGGGATCCGGAAGGGCTCCGTGCAGTACATGTCTGGGGGCAAGAGTAGGTCAGGAATTGCTCTAGGCCCCAGGCTGCTTAGTCCCCAGACCTACCCCAACACTCACAAAGCTTGGCCAGGGCGATGAGGGAGGTGTTGACGGCCAGAGACAGTTCAATGGGCAGCTCGGGGGGCACGACAGAGGTGAGGATCAGTGTACACTCCAGGAAAAGTTTGTAGCGGTTTCGGCTGGGGTCCTTGGTGCCTGTGGAGACAGGGGCTTCCAGCCAGGGGGAAGGGATAGGGGCTGGGCCCAACACAGGTGTGGTGAGTGTAGTGGTTACCCTCAATCCACACATAGGCTGCCGCTGCGATGGCAAAAACCAGGAGGAAGAGAATGAAGATGAAGGTCTCCAGGTTGTTGGCAGTCACTCTCTTGACCCCGAAGAGAATTGTGCGAAGCAGCTTGCCCTGAGGGACACAGAGGAATGCAAGCTTTTCCTGGGGGTGGGTGGGGGTGGTGAGGGGCTCCATGCTCAGAGTACAGGGGTCAGATTCTCCTCTGATGTCAGCTGAGTGACTGCCCTGGCCTCCAAGGGACCATGAAGTTGTTCTAAGGAGGTTGGCAGCTTGGCCAAGGGCGAACGGAGGCCGGAGGCCAGAGGCAGAGGACTGGGGGTGGGAAGGAGGTGGCTGAGATGGAGAACAAGTTTTCTAGAAAGAGGCTGGCTTCCACTGCTGCTAGGAGAACCTCACTCAACTTTAATGACGAGTTTATGGAAATGACTCTGCCTAGACCCCAGTGGATGGATTACACTCCCCACCAGAAACTCAGCCAGAGAGAGAGGCCTGGTTCAGGGCTCACCTTCACACCAATTCCTGACTCAGTACCTGCTGTCAGAGCAAGCCATGAGTGGATATTCCGGGGTTGACTTTCCATCCCCTTTTTCAGGGCCCACCCACCTTTCCCTGAGCCAACCAAGGTGTCACACCTGTGATGTGTTGAATCCGGTCCTCAGGACGTAGGCTACACACCCGTTGTCAACCGCTGGGGAGACAGGCAGAGCTTGTGTCACTATGTCTGGCTGTTACAACTCCCTCACAGACCAGAAGATGGGGAAAGATGAGGAAGATACCCTCAGACACCCCCAAGGCACCTACGCTTCAGGCCTGCGGTGGCTTTCTGGGGAGGGATGTGCTGCACCACCTTGGTACCCCCAAAGATGACGTGGAGCCGGGAGTCAGTCTGGAGGTCCAGCACCCGGTCTGGGTTAAGCTCTTCAATGGGCTCCTGGGAACAAGGTAGAGGACGGTGACATCAATGCCTGGTCCTACCTTGGCCTCCTCCCTATCTCTGGAGTGCTGAATCCTGGGACTGGGATGAACGAACCCTCACAGGCCTCCCCACACCCCCATATTTTCGGCCCCTCTCATCACCACCCAGCACCCCTCCAGCAGCTCTATCCAGGCACTACGCCTACCCTGCCTCCAGCCTCCTGGGCCAGGGTTCCCTCCTCCTCTGTCCACACCCAGCACCAGCCCACTGTGAAACGGGCAGCACCTTCATTTGTGGTACAGACTCCCCGGTGAGCATGGCCTCGTCCACAATGCAGCGGCCCCGCAGCAGCAGCACATCGCATGGTACCAGATTCTCCTGTGGGGAGCGGCCTGCAGGGCAGGGGCAGAGGGTTGGACCAAAGTCTGAGGTGGGGCTCCCACTGGGTGGAATAAACTGGGCCTCACCAATGGAAACGATGTCCCCAGGAACAATCTCATCGCTGGCGATGGGTCTCCACTTTCGGCTTCGGTAGACCTGGGTAAGGGCAGGGGTGCGGTCATCATGCCACACCTGCCCCAAGACTGGCATGGACCCTCTCCCCACCCAGTCTCCCAGCCAGCCACACCTGTATCATGTGGGGTTTGTTGCCCATCTTCCGGATCTCTGACATATTCCGCATCTGCTGCTGTACCAAGGAGGCCTCGAATGCCACCAGCATGGAGAGTGTGAAGACACTGTAGTACCAGTACTCATCCAGACACCAGAGCCCCACACAGAACACCTGTGGAACACAAGTTAGTCTACCCCTGTGTCCACTTGCCCACCACGAGGACGTGTGTGGAGATCAGGATGGAGGGCGTCCTTGTAGGGGACCCATAAGGACAGGCAGAGGTTTCTGAATGCAGAGATGGACACAGGTAACTCAACTGTGGAAGTCTCAAAGAGGATAGGGAGAGAAGGATCAAAGCTGCTACTTTACCTGGAACACAAAGAAGGGTGCCGTGGCTCTCTCCTTGAACAGTTCTGAGAAGTCAGGTACCACCATCTCAGCCCTACAAGAGATCAGACCCCGCATCTGGTTCACCTTATGAGGTCTTGAGACCTTTCCTCCTTAACACTTCCACTTGGGGGCACCATTGACCTCCCTGGGAAATAAGGACAGTGAAGTTCTAGACAGCTCCATAGACTAGGCTGTCCTCGACCCCGAGGCACCAGGGCAGGCATGCTGATCATCTCCAGCCCTCTGCTTAGAACCCAGATGAAGCTTCTGAGTTGGCATCAGGCTCTTCAGGAAGCCGCCCACCCAAACAGGGCTGTCGTGAGACTGCTGGTAGGGTGACAAGGCAAGCCGAGAAGGAACGGTTGACTGTGGGCGGAAACCTGCAGCTGCAGAGTGGTGGTAGTCAGGTGGAACCCTCTGGGGCCTCAAATATGGTCCTATGCTCTGTGCCCACTTTGCAGAAGGCTTGAATTTGCTAAAAACTCCCTGAATGTAAGTCATGGAACGCAAAGAGCCGGTCTCAGTGTGTTCTTCAGCACTGTGTGGTGGGCCTGTCAGGAAACTGACCAGGTCAACCAGGGCCATTTTCCCTCTGTTCTTGAACAGGAGGGATATCGTGGATGTGGGGTGTGAGCAAAATAAACTGCACAGTGGCTCTACTGTGATAAAAACAAACAGCTGAGACCCACCCTGGATCATGAGGGATGGTGTGAAAGAGATGTCCTAGGCAGGCTGCCTCCGTGGTTAACCTCAGGAGGTTGGGGGCCCATGAACGTTTTTTACAAAACTTCCTGTTAGATTAGTTGTAATAAATGTATTTGTAATTTTTTTTTTTTTAAAGTTAAGTCAGGAAAGAATTTCCCAGAGGCCCAGCTCTACCCTCTCCCAGCCTTGTGTAAGCACTGGTGGTTTGGGTAAAGATTAAACTTGTGCCAGTTACAGGGTCTCCCTGGTGGCGCAGGGGTTAAAGACAGCGCTATCAAGCTGTTGCTAGCCACTGCAGCACGAGTTCATTCCCCGCCAGCCAGGGAGCAATCCACATGCCCCAGCAGACCTCTCCTGCCTCACCTGCTACTCCCTTCAGCAGTCTATTTCAGTAGATCTGCCTGTTCTGCTCCCCACTCTCTCTGGTGATTCCTCTCACCCCCTGCACCTCTGACTTACACCCCAGTTCTTGTATGCATAAATAAATCAATCTTTTTTTTGGGGAAAAAAAAACAAAAACCCAACAACTTGTTCCTGTTACAAACAAAAGTTGCCCCGGTCACTGCAGTGTTTTATCATCACTTCTAAGATGCTGGGATAAGTATGAAAAACAGGATGAGAATTTACGTTTAAATACTTTAAAGTAAAATAAAAGAATTATAGTAACATTAAAACAAGGTCTGATGGGGCCTCCCCTGGTGGCGCAGGCAGTTGAGCGCTGCGCTGTGAAGCTGTCCGCAGGCTCTGCAGCGCGGGTTCGATCCCCACAGGCCAATGAGAATCCCACATGGCACAGCAGATCTCTCCTGTCTCACCCCCTGCTCCCCTCAGCAGTGTATTTCAGTCAGTCTGTTTGTTCTGTTTCCCGCTCTGTCTCTAGTGAATCCTCTCACCCTCCCGCACATCTGGCCTGTACCCCGGTTCTTGTACACATGAATAAATAAATCTTTAAAAAAAAAAAAAAAAAAAAGGAAGGTTTAATGGCTAACTCTTGTGGGCGGTGGGCCACAGGCTAGGCCAGTGCCACTGGTAGGACACCAGATAAGCTGCCTCCCAGAGGTTCCTGTCAGCAGAAAAGTTCAGGGAGACTAGGCTAGAGGCTACTTTTCAAAGGGCGTCTAACACATTCACCTGGAATAATTGGCTGAAAATGTGGACTTCTCTGTCCCACTTCCCAGGCATCTGAGCTGTGACCATAAGTAGAATCCCAAGCCCTGTCAGCAGGGAAGATACACAGGATCTTGGGACTCACTCACTTGTTACTCCCAAACTTTTTCTCTGCTGCACGGATCTCTGAGTCTTCCTGGAACCCTCTGTTGCTCTGGTAATAGGAGAAAGTGTTTCCCACAGGAAAGGCCACGGGAAGGAATCGCTTCTTTTCCAGGGCATCATAGGAATACTTGATTTTCTGGAATTCAAAGGATAGCACCTCCTGCCCGTCTTCTCCCTGTGGGAGGAGGTGTATCTGTGGTAGAGGCCCCTGACCTAGGGGCACTAGCACCTGGGAATCCCACTCAAGACCCATGTTGGGTAGTCTGGCAGGTGATCCCCCTACCTCATCGCGGTGCAAAGCGACGAGTTCAGTGGAGCCATTGTTGGGGGTTGGCACCACCTTCACGAAGGTTGCTTTGCTGGGGTCATACTCCTGCAAGAGGAAAAGCACAGAACCCTTTTCACCCCCAGTTCACAGGTCACATTGGGGAGGTTGTGGGTGTTGTAGCTCTGTGGACACATTCCAGAACATGTTCCAGAACACTGGAGCTCTGACTGCTGGTTGGGTTCAGTTGCTCCCCAGGCTGTCATTGGGACAAAAGACATCACCTTGTTGAGCTTCTGGTCCTGTATGACAAAGCAGGGTGATGGAGAGTACCTATTTCCCAGGGCTCTGATGACAGTGACAAGAATTCATAAGGGAAGAAGGCTGTCCTGCATACAATATGCTCTCAATTCACATGCAAAGCCCTGTCACAGTCCACCCGCCTCCTGCAATCACTCTGCCTCCTCCCCCACCCTATCACTATTCTAGCTTCGGCCTCTAGTGACAAGGGATGATGAGGATCTTGAGGCTGACCCTTGTCTCAGCTAAGGGACTGTGCAGGTCCTGTTTCTTTATCTGGAAAACATGGTCACACAGCTGCTCCAATGCCACCTTCTGAGATCTCCCCCAAACACCCCAACTTAAGTTCCCTCACAAGTCTTGTGCTCGTCCCAATTTCGTCTCTTCAGCGCTGACTGCTGAGTATGAGTTCTACCTTCCCCACTAATGTCATGAGAGTAATGGGTTTTGTTTTGTTTACTGCTGCTTCCCCAGAATCTAAGACACAGAGGCACCGAATGGTGCTCGATTAGCATTCTCTTCAATCCTGTGAACTGTTACCCCACGTTCCACCAGACCCCACCTCTTAGGGCGTGCGTGGGCCATGCAAGCAGGCAGAAAATAACAAGCTCCGAACTCTGGTAAGATGATGGAAGAAAAGTCTGAAGTGCTTGCTTGCAAGTCAGCCTTGTGTCAGGAGCTTTCCAGATGCTATCTCAGTGTCTTCTCACCCAAGGTGGGTGTTACGGTTCTCTTTACAGAGGGGAAATTGAAACCCAGGAGGCGGAGACACCCTGTTTGAAATTGAAACCAAGGAAGCGGAGACACCCTGTCTGAGATCTCTTGATGCAAAACCAGATGTGTCTGTCCTAACCCCATAGCTTAATTTCTCATTGTTCTCTGTTCTAGGAGAGGAAATTAAGAGCCACACTTTTAAGATACAGGCTGAAAGACAGTTGAAAGGTAAGGGGGTGTCATATTCCAGCCAACTCCTCTCCATTGTTTTTACCCCTTGATGGGGCTTTTAACTGTATTGACTTGGAGCCATGAAGTCCGGGAATTCCAGTGCCTCCCCTGATTTAAGGCTTAGTTGGGATGGGGAAGGCTTCACTCAGAAAAGACTGAGGATGCAGTTCACGTTTGGAATCAAAGGGGGTAGTGATGGGGGTTTCTGGCTCTTTCTGCAGTCCTTGCTGCTTTTCCCTTTCCTCTTCCTTCCAGTAAACACACATCTGGAATAACTGGGGAGGCTGGCTGGAGGCTGACTTCAGCACCCAGGGCTCCAGATCTGCCAGTATCATCTGAGGCAGGTTGAGGGCCATAGTGCAAAATCAACTGCTTACCCAGGTTTCACCAGGATCTCGGGCTAAGGGTCACAATGCACTTCCTTGCTGTTGTATCCTGAGGGCAGCACACAGCTTCACCAATCTCATTTTGCAGAGAAATGTAGTTAACTCCAAATGGTTAAGTCACTTGTTAATAAATCCCTCTTGTCCCCTTAAATGCTTCTATCAACAGCATTCCAAGCTTGCTTTGGTCTTGGAAGGGGAGGGTCTGAACAGCAGGGTTGTCGCTAAGTTCTCAAACCAAGCTTGACAATGAAACCCACCTTGCAGATCTATCCTCACACTTTGGAAACCATGGTAGAAGACCGATCAGAAGGAATGAAGGCAGGTCCAATTTCAGGAGAAAACCTGAGTACTCGCCAGCACAGGAGCCAGCGTTAACAGGCGCTACCGAACAGCGACATATGGCAAGCCTACGCGAAGCTTTCACAGGTAACGTAACATCTTATTCACGCTAAACGACCAAGCCGACGAGGAACTAGGCCAGGAGAAGGATCTCGCGCCAAAGGGTAGAGGGTGGCTCGCGGGAGGCCCGGGCGTCCGGGTAGGGGCCGTGCGCGCGCACTTACCGGGGTGCAGGTGAGCGCGCAGTGCGCGTGCACGGACCAATGCCCAGAGAGGACAGTGAGCGCGTGCGCGAGGCAGATGGTGGCGAGCACGAGCAGCGCGGCCTCGGGGACCTGCGCCCAGCTGCTGCCCCAGCCCCAGCAGCCGGCGGCCGCGGCGCAGAGCCAGCCTGGGTACAGCAGTCCTGCGAACGGCAGCACGGTGAGGCGCCGCGGCAGCGCCAGCCGCCGGTACGGCCATACAGCGGCCACCAGCTCGTCACCACGCTCCACAAGCGCCGGGCCGGCGGCCAGGAGCGCGCGCGGCTGTGGCCCGGCTTTGGGCAGCCCACCGGGCTGGGCTCCGCAAGGCCGAGTCCCGCAAGGCTCCGCGTTGCCCATCGCCGCCGCCGCCGCCATCTTTCCCAGCGCCGCGCTGGTTTCCGGGCAGAGGCACGCCGCGCTGGTTTCCGGGCAGAGGCACGCCTCACTTCCGGAACCATACTTCCGGTGACCGCTGGGCGCCGCCATGGGAGCCGGGGCTAGGAAAAGGCGGGGCTACATAGGGGGCCGCATCAGTAGGTGGCTACTCGGGCGCCGCCATGACAGGCCGTGCCGGAAGGAGAGGAAGGGGGCGCCATGACAGAGGGGCCCGAGCGGCTAGGGCTGCCCGCCCGCCTTGCCACGCCGGATGGAGACCGGAAAGACGAAGCAGGGCGGACGGGGCGCCACCATGACAACCCAAATCGGAGGCGCTAACACGCCTCTGCGACTGCGCGGCTTCGGCGGGGCTGCCTCTAGAGGGGCGGAGCCTGGACTCTGAGGAGGCGGGGCCACCCTGGGAAGCCGAGGGGCCCGGGGGCGGGGCCTGACACGCGAAAGGGGCGGGTTTGCCTTGGGGGCGGGGCTTGTGAAGGCTAGCTTCCGGGAGGTGTGCAGGGTGGGTTTTCCAGGACCTGCTGAGACCTCCTTGGCCAGAGGCCAGGACGGGGCTGGTTTGGGCACTGCCACAATGGGCAAGAGGGCATAGATAGAGCTGCTGCTTTAACAATAAAAACATGAAAAATTGTTCTTTATTTCAAATTATATTTTATTCTGTAATAGTTACTTTCCTGAAACATAAATGCTATTGTTTGAACAAACCCACAATAGGGCTAATTAACAGTGACAATTGGTGGCAGTCAACAGTAGGGTAATTAATGTGTGCGAATAAAGTATAACAATATTTTTATAATTCTTTGTTCTCTGGTCAAGCAATTTATTTGAAGTACCTTTTAAGCTATTTAACATTACATTTTGTAAGCTCAGTTTTTTTTTTTTTTTAGATTATGCATACAAGAACTGGGGTACAGACCAGAGGTGTGGGTGGTGAGAAGATTCACCAGAGAAAGAGTGGGGACAGAACAGGCAGACTGACTGAAGTACACTGCTGAGGGGAACAGCAGGCTAGTCAGGAGAGGTCTGCTGTGCCATGTGGGTAGCTCCCTGGCTGGCTGGGGATGGAACTCCTGCTGCAGAGGCTGTGGATAGCTTCACAGTGTGCCTTAACTCCTTGCACCACCAGGGAGGCCTTGTAGGCTCTGTTTTTGTATATTCTTTAGATACATAAATGTGACTTTGCAAAAGGAGAAGGTAAATGCAATAGATAGTAGATAACATTCTATATTTAATAAAAATAACTTTTTTTCTGTCCCATTTCACAGTAGGTATTTTTTATTCTGAGTTTTCTAATAATACTTCTCCAATAATACAGTAAATATTGCAACTTGTAGGACATCATTTCTGTTATGTAGTGGTAAAACTAATGAAATAATATCACTTTCACTTGCTGCTCTACTTTTATCAAGGCCATAATTACTCTGATTCTTGGTGTTATTCCAATGAGCTAAATATCCTGTCAGCATGGATTTTACTTTCAAGCAACAACAGACTTTTTGACTTGTAGGATTTAGTTTCTAGCACTCCAAAAGAGATTTTTTTCTGTAGAAAAAAAGCTACTGGGTTAATCAAATTGTCACATGTATAAATTAATCTTATGCCACCATCTGTGTCTGAAATACTCATTTTTAAACACTTCAAAGCACATAGTATGTCATAAGTTAAACATCCCTTTCTCAGACAGCTTGGTTTTAAAAGATAGAGATAATTTGAAGTTGTGAAATCAAAGTAGAATTCCATATAGTTACATTTTTAGTGAAGAAACTGAAAACTCCCTTTTTTATTTGGCTGCCTTTTTCTGATGATGTTTTGAATTCTGAAGCAGCTTTATTTTAAAAAAGGACTCAGTTTTTCACTGTGTGAGTTTTTGCCATACAGTTGGATAGTAACTTAGGGGCAGTAACAGTCAGTTGGCTGGGCTTCTTGTGGCCTCGTCAAAGATCATCAAAGAACTATGGAGAAACAGTATGGAAATTACTTTTTCCTATAGCTGTTTTCTCCATTCTAAACATCAATGTTTTCTTACACTTTGAAAATATGATTTTATGGTAGGTCAACTTAAAAAATTATTTTATTAGAACAGTTTTAGATTCAAAGAAAATTGAGAGAAAGGTGCAGTGATTGCCTCTCTTCCCACATTTATAGACTTCTCCATTATAAAAAATCCCCCAACAGAGTGGTACATTGTCAGAAAGTTGTACATTCTTTGGATAATGAAATGTATCCATCATCATAATGTGATAGAGAGTAGTTCTACTGCCCTAAAGTCCTCTGTGCTCTGCTTATTCATCCTTTCTCCCCTCCAACCTGGCAATCATTGATCTTTTTACTGTCTCTATACATTTGGCTTTCCCAGAATATCATAATAGTTGGAATAATACAGTATGTAGCCTTTTCAGATTTACTTAATAATATGCTTTCAGAATTCCTGCAGGTCTTTTTATGGCTTGATAGAACATTTCTTTTTAGACCTGAATATTACTCCATTATCTGGAGGTATATCAAGTTATCTTCCACCTACTCAAAGACATTCCATTTGCTTCCACGTTTTGACTTGCCATAAATAACTGTTCACATTGCCTTTTTTTTTTTTTTTGGTGACAACATCACATTTAATTATTAATTACAAGCTTTATTGAGATATAATTGAATATAACATTTTGTAAGTTGAGGGTGTGTAATGTGATGATTTGATACATATCTATACTGTGAGATGTTTATCACAATAAAGTTAGTTAATATATTCTTTTTTTTTTTTTTTTTTATAGAGGCATGTTTTTATTTATTTGTTTGTTTGTTTGTTTATACATGCACTGGGTACAGTCAGAAGCGCGGGAGGGTGAGAGAATTCACCAGAGCCAGAGCGGGGAGCAGAGCAGGCAGAAGGACCGAAGTACACTGCTGAGGGGAGCAGCGGGCGGCAGGAGAGGTCTGCGCGCCATGTGGGACCCTCCTCTGGTGGTCGGGGAGCAGCCGGGGATCGAACCTGCGTCGCAGAGGCCGCGGGCAGCTTCACAACCCAGCGCTCAACCGCTGCGCCACCGGGGAGGCCCAAAGTTAGTTAATATATTCTTTACTTTACATCATTTCTATTTTGTTGTTCTGGTGAGAACACTGATGCTTTACTCTTCTAGCAACTTTGAAGTTGCTTGTACATTCAGCACTGATGACTATAATCACCATGCTATACATTAGCTACCCAGAATTTATTCATCTTATAACTATAAGTTTGTACTCTTTGACCAATATCACTCCATTTTCCCCAACCCTCAGGCCATGGTAACTACCATTTTACTCTTTCTGAGTTCCATGGTTTAGATTCCACATGTAAATGAAGTTATACAGTACTTGTTCTTCTCTGTGTGACTTCTTTCCCTCAGCCTAATGCCCTCAAGTTTCACACATGTTGTCACAAAAGAGTTTCCTCCTTTTTTAATGAGTGAATATTTTTTTGAGTGAGTTTGTTTGTTTGTTTATTTATTTATTTATTTATCTGTTTAGCTATACAAGAGCTGGGATGTAGGCCAGAGGTGGTGGGGTAGGGTGAGAGGATTCACCAGACACAGAGTGGGGAGCAGAACAGGCAGATTGACTGAAATACTGCTGAGGGAAGCGGGGGGGCAAGATAGGAGAGGTCTGCTGCGCCATGTGTGTTAGCTCCCTGTGTGGAGATCAAACTTGTGTTCAATGGCTGCTGATAGCTTCACAGTGCTGAGACTTAACCCCTTGTGCCACCAGGGAGGCCACTAGATACTTCATTATATCACTCTTAAAAATATAAAATGAACCATATTTTCCTTATCCATTTATTGGTTGATGGACTCTAAAGTTGTTTCCATGCTTGGCTGTTATGAATAATGCTGCAATAAATGTGTAGCTATCTCTTTGGGATAATGATTTCATTTTCCTTGAATATATACCCAGAATTTCTGGATCATGTAGTGGTTAATTTTTTTATGAACCTCCATATTGGGAGGCTATACCGATTTACATTCCCACTAATTGTATACTGTTAAAAGAACAAAAATCATCTCAGTGAACTTAAAGATCTAATGAACTCATGAATCATCCCATCAAGCCAATAGAAAGGAGCTCCAGAAGAGCTATACAAAATAGAATGCTTTTACTGGCAAAAAGAGGGTGAGATAGGAAAAGAGGAAATTGTTTCAGGCAGGATCACCTTCCTGAGGGGAACTATAAATGGTCAATTAGGCAGATTACTCATTAGTGTTGATATGGGTAATTCCAGATTGCCTGGGTAAAGGTTAAATGCAATTTCTCAGTGAGGTTAAACTACTTAAGTATTAAGTTCAGTTTGGTGACATAACTCATAGCGCAAACACATGATTCTATTTTGGGCCTGTCATCTCTCCTTTTTTTTTTTTTTAAATAGTACAAAGCTTCTGTTTTCTCCACATCCTCACCAGCATGTTATTTCTTTTTGATAATGGCCATTCTCACTGTGTGATGTGATATTTCATTGTGGTTTTGATTTGCATTTCTTTGTAGTTAATATTAAGCACCTTTTCATGCACCTGTTGGCCACTTGTTTGTTTCTTTGGAAAAATGTCTACTCAGTTCTCATTTTTTTTAAGATTTATTTTATTTATTTATGCATACAAGAGCTGGGGTGTAGGCCAGAGGTGTGGGGGATGAGAGGAATCACCAGAGAGAGAGTGGGGAGCAGAACAGAAATACACTGCTGAGAGGAGCAGTGGGTAAGACAGGAGAGGTTTGCTGTGCCATGTGGGTTAGCTCTCTGGCCGGGGATTGAACTCATGCTGCAGTTAACTTGATAGCTCTGAGACTTAACCCCTGTGCACGCCACCAGGGAGGCCCTCTTCTCATTTTTTAATTGGATTTTTTTTTGTTATTTAGTGGTATGAATTTCTTATATATTTTGGCAATTAACACTTATCAGATACATGATTTGCAAATATTTTCTCCTATTCAATAGGATGTCCTTTATTTTGTTGATGGTTCAGTGCAGTT